GGCGTGGCCTGCAGAGCCCTGCTGAGACTCAGGGAGCTGCCCCGGGTCACTTGAGGGCTGAGCCTCTCCCTAGAGAGCTTCACATACCAGGCCAAAGTCCCTGCTGTCCTGGGGCCCCCACGTTGGAAAGCCCAAAGGTAAGGGCCATTTGCTGGCACTCACTTTCTCACTGATGTCTGATGGGTGGGCCTCAATGGCTGGCTGCATCCCCCGACTCGGAAGGGCGCTTGCTATGTGAACTGGCCAGAACCCTCATCTGCTCTGTGGCTCATGGCTCAGGGTGTCATCCCCACCTCCCTGCCCCAGGCTCAGGTGTCCACAACTCGGGACCACCAGCCTGGAGCCCACGCCCACGGCCTGTGCCATCCTCCAGCTAGGCCTCATCCCTGCCCCAGCCTGGGCTTGGCTCTCTTGGTGGTAGCCATGGTCACCTTCCCCACCTTGTCGCCCTCTTGGGAGTGCTGAGGTGCCAGCTGGCAGCTGGGCTATCAAATCTTTCCAGGAGTTTCCAGTGTTTCATTAACCAATGCTGAACTCAGAACTGCACATCCATCGTTCCTGTGATTAGATTCATGTCCTTGGTGCCCAGTAGTGCTTCCCGCAGGGGTGTCCTGGGTGGCTGAGCAGCCACTATCCACCACGGCCTCAGCACCTCAGGTCATTAATCCTGGCCCCAGAAAGTCCTGCTCTTCTCATTTGCAAGTTTTAATGCCGCTCTCAAGGGTCCTGCTTTCCAAGTGGTGATTACGCAGCTGTCCCCTCCCTGGGCTGCCCTCGACTGCGCTTTTGATTTATGTGAGTGTCGTGCTGGTGGGTGCTTCCTGGCATCTGATGAGTTCCACTTAGAGTAGCCACCGATTACCCCTGGACACAGACATTTATAGTGTGTCAGAATTTGTGCTCCTCTTTTGTGACCCTTATTCCTTTGTGTTGCCTTTCGCACTATGGAAAATTCCAGAAGCACAGAGAAGGCACTGTAGCAGTGTTGTGATGCCCTATAAATGTCCCCCCTCCACCGTGGAGTCACCACCTCCTGGCCAGTCCCATCTCCCCGTGTCCAGCCTGACTGTTCCCTGCGGCTCTCTGGACAGCTTGGGACCAATCCTAGCTTCAGTGTCTGCCTTCGGTGCCTCCACGTCACTTCTGTGAGATGTCTTTGGTCCCAAGGTTGCTGGAGAGACACACACCTGTGGCTGGCTCTGTGAACACTCGCATGGCTGGGTTACTTGTTGGATGTGCCTGAAATTTATTTCCATGTGTATATAGAAGCACTATTTTGGTTGATACAATGTGTCAACTTGAGAAGTTTAGAATTTTAACCAAGAGACTCTTCCACAGGAAGCCAGGGTTCTTTGCAAATATCCTCATCCTGTGCAAGAGGAGGGCACAGAGATTTTATGAGTGCTACACCTGCCCTGGGAGGTGGGCGTGGCTTGCCTACAATGTAAGGGAGGAGAAAAGCCTCGTTCTTCCCATTTTGCTCTGATTGCTTTTGCTGGCTGCTGCCTTGAAGTGTTTTTGCCCCAGTGTCATGCCACGCTGCCTTGGAGCCAGGACTGAAACCTCCACAGACTGTAAGCTAAATGAACCTTTCCTCCATTTTGGGTGTCAGATATTTTGTCCTAGCAATGAGAGAAAAGTAACTAACTCAAGCATCAAGCGGGCCTTCTCCAGGCAGCAGCGTCCAGGTAACTCCAATATGTCCTACCTGATGTTCCTGCTCCACATTTCTGTGGCCTTCTCTGCCCTTCTATCTAGGATGTCCCTGTCCCTGCCATGTTGTTGGTGGCTGTGGTTTAGGACATGTCTTGAGCCCTTGGCAGGCATCCAGCCCCGCCTTGTGCAGAGGTTCCATGGCCTTGTATCTGCAGAGGCTGGGCCCTTGGGCTCAGCCCACTTGGAACCACTCCACCGTGTAGCTGGGCTGGGTCTGCACCAACTTGGACCTCTCTGTTGGTGCTTTGCTTACATTTCTGGCTGTTTGCTGGTGCCATGCAGCCCTCCTGGGAAGCTGCTGCCCTGGCTGGGCAGTAAAAGGGGTGAGTGGAGAGGGGAGGAGGAGCAGCGATGGCTCCTTGGCTTGTCCCTGATCTGCGAGACAGATCAGCTGGGCTGCTTTGTGTCATTCAGAGCCAAATCCATGTCCCCTTGCACTCTCTGCCCAGTGGATGGGCAGGGCCACCCTGCTGAGGTCACCACAGCCCATGCTGCAGGGCTACACATGCATTTTCCTGGGCGGATGTTCCACAGAGGCGTCTCCCCGCCCCAGAATTCAGGGAAACCATCTTCCTGGCCTGGGCTGAGACACAGACCAAGGAGAGAGGTAGGATGTGTTATGATAACTCGTTTGCAAATATTCTCTTTTCCTTTGTAATGGGCCATCAGGACCTTTTGGGGCTCTGTGGCTGCACAGTGCATAACTTTTCCTTCAGAATTAGATGGCAAGGGCTCTGAGGCCCAGCAGATGTGAAACTCAAGGTGGCTGGGGCATCAGGCCCCACCTGCATTTAAACCCTCTGTGTGCATCTGATCAACAAACCACAGGTGTGAGGGCTGAGGCAGTGCCACGTGGTCACTCCTTGGATGTCTTCCAGTCCACCCAGGAATCTAGTTCTCATCTCTGGGCTCAAGGGGCTAAAGGCTTTCAAGATGTTAATTCCAGGATGCGCAATGGACTGGCCAGAGGGCAGCAGGTGTTGGCCTCGAGTATGGGTTGGGGACACCACAGGTGATGGTGGGCACGTCTGGTTCCTGTGTTCAGTGTGGGCCCATGCTGGGACAGGACTATGCTGGGGACATGCTGGGCAGCAGAGCTGACAGCTGCACAGGATACACCATGGAGAAGCTGGCGGGTTCCCCAGTAGTAGCAGCAGCCCCTGGAGGACTCCTGGGGACGCCATCTCTTGGAAGTGGACTGAAGCTTTGGACAAGCTGTGCTTTTGCCTATGGGGTGTGACCCCCAGGTTGAGGGGGCTCCGTGGAAGGACAGGTGCTGCTAAGAGCCCTGGGGTGTGTGTGTAGGGGTGTAGGGGGCTCCAGTGTACCCAGAAGTCCATCAACAGCTGCTGCTCCTGCCCTGGAGACCAGGGCCAGGGCTGTTTTCAGCTCTACCCTGTGTGACCACACAGGACAGGCAGGTGAGTGTCTGGCCTCGACTGGGGGTGGGTGGACTAGGACAGTCCTTGTTTAACGAGCTGCCTGCTCAGTGAATGTTATTACTTATGACCCATCTTTTAAAATTTTTGTACAGTTCTGTACATCCTGTTTCTAGAGCTGCTGTTTTTGTACAGTGTGCAAGTTGTACTGATTGTGCTGGACGGTGCGTTACTGCGGTTTTATATCCTGTTATAGACTATAGCACTGAACGTAAGGATTACACAGGCAAAATCAGTTATCCGGTGGGAGTTTGCTCTGATGTCTCTCTGTGCCTAATGCTGCGGTGGGTATGCTCTCTATGCCTCCTCATTCACACCAACTCACTTCCTGGCCAAGCCACAGGGCGGGAAGTGGGAAACAGGCAGGGTTTGTGCACTAAACCTGGCAGACTCAGCAGAAACACTCACAGCCCTATGGATGGAGCCGAGCCCTGCAGAAGGCCAGCTGCTGTGTCCCGTGAGCCCTGCCTGTCCTGCAGGGCCAGGACCCTCACCAGGCAGAACAAGCACACCTGGCCCAGTGTTTGTGGAGGGGAGAAATCAGCAGCTCTCAGGTACCCCGAGGAGACAGGCTGGCAGCCGTGGGGACTGTCCTGGGTACCGTATACATGGCACCATGCAGGTATGATACATCTGCCTCACTGTGGGCTCAAAAGATCACTTTCTGTGAATAAACAGTGAACACAGAGCTGCTGCTGTTAAAGCGAAAATGCTCAAACCACGGCTAAGGAACCACGTGTGGTACCAGACAGTCTGCTGCCAGTGGGCCTGGTGGCACAGTCTCACCTCAGTGGTAGGAGACTGGAAAGTGACCCAGCCAGGGCAACACCATGTGCGTCTGCTGCTCCTCTCCACGATGTGCAGAAGCTGTCATGCTTTCCAAAGGTAAGGGGCTGCTAACACTCTGTACAGCCCTTATAAGAACATGTCTTAGAGGAATGATTCACAAAGCCCTGCGACTTTGAGGAGACGACAGTGCCATGGCTGCCCTGTCCCCACTCCTATCTCCTTGAGCTACAGACTGTCCCAGCACTGCACCTGCCCTGGCCACCCTGAGAACAAGCACTCCTTGTTTTGGGTCAGTGCCTGTGGTCTCATCTGCACCGAGCTGCAGCAGAGGCCCCATGTGTCAGCCATCGCCACAGACATGCTGCGTAACAAACCATCTAGACACAATTCCCAGCTCTGAGCACATTTCCTGCCTGTTGTGGGCCTACAGCTGTCTTGTCAGGCTCTGCTCCCCATGGCTTGCTCTAGGCCAGGACAGGAGGTGACTGTAAGGGGGCTCAAGCGGACTGATAGTGCAGTGTGGAGCTGGCTGATGTGCCCTCGGCATGGCCAGGCTGACCGGAGGGCAGGAAGCAGTCCTGCAGGAGGAAGCAAGCCAGGAAGTGGAAGGCCAAGCCTCACGTGTCCCCACCCATGACTAACCCATCATAGGGTGCAGTGCACAGGTAGAGCTGTGGGCTTACCAAGCTGAAGGGTCCCTGGTGACTAGGGGCTGTCACTAGTGTGGGCAGGCTTGCCTCACCAAGCAGGTCCCCGGAGGTGCTGGCCCTGCCCTGGTCTTGCCACTCTTGAAGGTCAGTTCTTGCTTAGTCCACCATGGCGCAAAGTGCAGTACGGTTTTTGGGTCACTATGAAGACATCGTGACCCTCCCACCTGCAGTGGGTGACAGCCCCCCCCCCCCAGGCCTGGGCTGCAGGGGCTTCACAGATGCAGTGCTCCCCACAAGTTCTAGTTTGTCCCTAGGGATGGTGGTCAGTCCCTTTGGCCTGGGGATCATTCCCACAGGGTCCTGGACCCATGAGAGCTAATGAAAGAGCGGGAGGCAAGACCAGAGGTGGAGGCAATGAACGCAGTCTTTATTTACACCACAAGAGTGACAGTGCGCAAAGTGGTACAAACACTGGACTCCAGGGGTGGCAGGAGAAGCTGACCATCGGAGAACACCGTGGTCAGCGGAGCGCCACCCACACAAAACAAACAAGAATGAAAAAACCGAAACAAGACCTCCGACTCCACTGAGCAAAAGAAAGAACCATGGGGAAGGTCCAGACAGTAGAAGGTGACGCTGACTCGCAGGGCCCAGCGGGTGCCCGGACAACGTCCGCTCCTGCCTCATGGCAGGCATCTCTGGAGTGAGGCCGAGCCGGGAGAAATGTGCAGAGGTCACCGCACTCGGCCTCTGAAAACCAGAAAAGGCGCCTCTACTATGGAGCGCACGCACCAGAAAACAAAGAGGGACGTTGCTGTCCTTCCTGCTGGAGGCTTTGCCAGCGCGGGTGGCCGTGCCCTGGGCCCTAGGCGGCAGCTGGGTGCAGGGCTGCCAGGAAGGGGACTCCTCAGAGCCATGAGCAATTACAGGGCCGGCAGGGCGAACAGGTGTGGCAGCCCTGCGGCAGGAAAAAAGGAAACAAACCGAACCAAACCGAACTCCTCCAAATCAACTTGGGAGACAGCGGCTCTCATCGAGCGTCTGTGGCCCCCGGAAACACTGTTTCCACATAAATACAATAAACTCTAGTACTGGTAGGTCACAAGTGCTAGGTAAACTTTTTCTTTAATATGACAAATGTGTAAGTAGTCCTTTTAAATTTTTCTTACAATAAAAAGTACACTTTCTTAAGAATAAGTTCAGTAAGACTCAAACTCCCCACCCCTCCTCTCCTTCAAGGTTTTGTTTTGTTTTACAGAAAAATCCCCATCTTTTTATATCTGCAAATGTCACGAGAGGGGGAATGAAAGGCGTTCTTCTTCCTCCCCAGAGCTGCCAAGGTCGGCGTGCAAAATCCGTATACAATATAAAGACATGCCGGGCGTAGGGCCATGCAACCTCCAGGTGTAGGAAACTTAAAAAAATAGATTCATATGTTTATATCTCTCTATTTATATATGTATCAATGCCCATGGAACATGTGGGCCCAAAGTCTACAAAACAAGGAATGAGCACGAGGCCGTGGCCAGGGAGGAATGCTCCGACAGGAGCCGGAGGTCCATGGCTACTGCTGCAACAGTCAGACTCGCTGGCCCTTCCTCTCACAAAGGTTGTAAGGAAAGAGAAACTGAAACACTTCGACAAAGCCACCCAGAGCTGGAGCCTGGCAGGGCGGTGGCGCCGCCTGCTGGTAGGGTGTGGGCATGACGTGCGCGGCGGGGCACCTCGGCAGGGCGGGAGCCAAGCCGGTCACTGGCCAGGACTCCGCTTTACTGAAGGGCTTAAAGTGCTCATTCTGGCCGGTGCCCCCCAGGCCTCTGCAGAGGAAGGAAAAGGCCAAGGCCTGGGCGCGGTGGAGTCGCGTGCAAAGCTCTTCCTGCTGCGTCTTGCCTGCGGGGGCCATGGCCACCCCTGCCACTGCCCTGATGCTGGCTGAGGACACGGCCTACTGTGTCTTCAGGGAAAGAAAAGGCTACATGGTAGTGGATGCAGCAGGCTGTGGAGTGGGTGTGTCGGTGAGGGTTACCTGTGGCCACCAGGCCCCGCTGAGCAAGACTGGGAGCCCCGGGTGGTGACAACCTGGCCACCCAGCGGCCCAAGTTATCCCTGTCTGAAAGCACAGTGAAATGATGTGGCCCCTTAGGCGCCATGGGGGCACAGGGCCACAGGGTGTGGAGGCTGGAAGAGCTGGTGCCAGCCTGTCACCAAGCAGCGCCACCAGTGGGAAGGGACCTGGGCAGCTTCCTGCCAAGGGGCTTTGGTGCCAAGAGAAGCCCATGGGGCGGGGAAACTCAAATGCACCCCGAGACCGTACTGCCCTGCTCTCTGCCTGCCGTCTGGGCAATGCCCAATGGGACAGTGACCGGGAGACCAAGAAGACGCGCTCATCCAGGCACTAGTCCGGCTGAGTTTGTGTCTACCCTGTAAACGTCCCCCAATTTGGAAACCTGGCTCGGTGTCCCTCCTGAGCCTCTGCACCTCCTCCCTCAGGTCCGAACTATGACACACTTTGGAATGAAATTGGTGGCTTCAAGTGCTATAAAATAAGTTACCGGTAAAAGTGGCTGTCAGTTCTGTAAAGAGAAAAAGAGCAAAGACAAAGCCCTGGGGTGCCTCCAGGAGCGCACGCTCAGGGCAGGCAGCAGGCCCGGCTTCCCACACAAACCCCAGCACGGGAAGGGCTGGTGGGCCGCGTGGGGCTGACATACGTGGAAAGTCTCTGGGAAACCGGGCCTAGGGGTCTGTTCTGGTGTGGGCAGAGGGGTCCACACACGACTCATCAGTGCTGAAGTCCGGGCCAGCAAAACACCACCCCTGACACAGGAACACGCGGGGAGCTGGGCCCTGGGCTCCTCTGCACAGCTCCTGGGACGGAGCCAGGACAGACAGACTGGCTGGTGTCACCGGGAAGGCCTGGCTCCTTACCCCACTGGATGCTCACGTTCAGAAAGTCAGTTCCCAGGGGCGCGGCAGGGGCCTGCTCCCAGCACGAAAGAAACACAAACAAATCATAAAAAAACCATCCAAGGTAAAAAAAGGTTCAATCAAGAATTTAGAAAAGAAAAAGTTTTAGACATTATTACCATTCAGAAAACTGCTAAATGGAGAGAAAAAAAATGTAAAATTCACAAAACAATGCTTATTTAAGGAACTTTTTGTGAAAAAATTCATACAAAAATCAACAGCAAATTTATATCCTTTGCTACAAAAACTCATTAGGTACCTAAGTGCATTGAGGCTTGGAGAGTGGGGCCTCTGTTAGAAAATAATTAAAATGAAAGTACAAACAGGTAGGGAAGCTGCCCGGGGCAAACGGTGGTACTCGCTCAGAAAGCTGCCATCAGAGCTCAGCGCCGTGGCCTCCGCCCGGACCGCTCTCCCTAGCACCGCGGAGCTGGCGCCAAGCCCTCCACTTGCCAGGACCTTCACGATCTGCATTTATTATATAGATATATTTTCTATAAATGCATATAAATATTTACCAAGATCTCAGAAGAATCAAGTTTCTTAGCTTGGGATACATTGGAATATGTATTATACATATATATATATCTATATATATATATTTATTTAGACCTAAGGTAAGCAATGCTTCATGCTGCTTGCTCTGGATGAAAGCATTCCGACCGCGGCACGCAGGTGTGCGTCTACGACATGCTTCACGACCAAATGGAGATGCTCACTGCCACGGGACGGGTGAGGAAAGAACACTTTGGATTCATTCAACAGTTGCTGGACTTCAACCCCCAGCAGTGTCAGCCGCGCTTCCGGAAGGAACACCTCCACTTCCTCAGACGGCCACACAGCCGCACCCCACACAGCCGGCCACACAGCCGCTGTGGGCGGTAGTGCTGCCCTTGGAGCGCCAGGCCAGCACCACTGGGCTCCCCAACCATAGGACACGGTCTCCCCAATTCCTGCTGTAGATTTTTTCTTAAGGCATTGTTCCTCAGACTTCAGAAAACCCAGCCACAAAAATCCATCAGAGCAGTAAAAAAAAGGCACAAACTCGTATCTTCCGATGGCTTTGAGCTCACGCTGATCCCCAGGCTCCCATTCCACTTTGTCCAGTCTTTCCGTTAAAGGTTCCTCCAACTCTGTCCCTGCCTGGCTGCATGCCCCAGGGGATGCCTCAAAGGCTCCTGGGACAGGCCAGAGCTGTAGAAAACTTTCTGTTTAAAAAAAAAAATAAGCTACAAGATGAGCTGAGTGGTTTACACGGAGACTGTAGATGTGGGTAAGAATCAAACTTTAAGCACCAGTTTTAATCAAGTTTGTTTTGTATTATTAGATCTTTGATTTTCATTTTCCTTTCCTCGTGTCAACTAAATCCGGCAACTCTATCCCCAGCCGCCACAGCTCCATCCTGTGGCTTTGCCGGGGGCTGCCCAAGTGTGCTTGGCTTCCACGTGTCTGTGCGTCTGAGCGCACGTCGCCACTGTCCCGTGTCCGAAAGAGGCTGCCACACCGGTGTGCGTCAGGGTGGCGGAAAGGCCTCTGGCTGCTGCTGCACGCCTGGCATCCCTGTGCTCAGAGAGCCTGTGCGGGACGCATGAGTGACATGGGAAAGTTTCCTGGCTGAGCTTCAAGACAGACAAACAAAGGAGAGACAGCAGCTTCGAGAGGTGCTACAGGGGTGGCTCCTCTTCCATGGGCTCCTCCTCCGGCCTGTGTGGGAGGGAAGGAGTGCGGTGGGTGGTGGTGCCCACACCTGACCCCACATGGGGCCTGCCTGCAGCCAGGGACTCTTCCTCAGAGTCTCCAGCCCTACACACTGCACTGGACAGCGCCGTATGCCTGGTCTGTTCTGTCCCCGGAGGATAGGCCCTGTGGCAGTGGCAGGGAAAGGCCCAGCTCACAGGTGAGCCTGGCAGCCCATGGGCAGGCAGGGCAGATACTCACCTCTTCTCAGTGGGCTTCACACCCACGGACAGTGAGGCCATGGCGGTGACTGTCTCGGCTTCTTCATTCTCACACTTCTGTGCCTCGATCAGCGAGTGCCCCACCGTGGAGGACAAGCGCTGTAGGCAGCGCCAGTACTTACCTGGAGGGAGGACAGGGCTCGATGACCATGGTGACCACTGGGCCTGTGTCTCCAGGGAGACCACTGGCTGTGACACTAGAGGTGCTTCTGGCAAGGGAACTGCCAGGTTGTGATCCATGGCACTGGGCACGGGCGCGGTGTCTCTGCCATGGGATCACCGGGCCTGGCAGGGCTCCGAAGGAGCCTGGTTTCCTTGCCCACACACTTGCCTCCCCGTGCTGGCTAGGTGCACACACTGCAGCCTGGCAGGTGCTGGTGTGCAGTGCTGAGTCCCCTCCTTGAGCCCTAGGGCTTCAGGCCTGAGAGCTGGGGCTGTGCCCTGCCCAGAGCCAGCCTCTGGGTGTAGGAGCCAGGAGCAGACCCAGGGCTGCACTGCCTGGCCCTGCTGTGCACAGCTGAGGCCTGCATTTGGGGCCCTGAGTAAGGGCACAAAGTGATGGGTGCCCTGGAGGCGTGAGAGGTTGGGGCACTGCCTGTCCTGGCCCTTCTGGGAGCCCTGGGGCTCTGCGGCCTACGAGTAGTGACAGAAGATGAGCTTTCCTGCAGGGCTGAGTGAAGCCTTGGAAGAGAGACCATGGTGCTCAGGCTTAGAGCCAGGCCCGCCTGCCAGCTAGGACCCAATGAGCGACTTCACTCAGAGCCCAGTTCTTTGCTCTGAGAAATGGGGATGAGGAGCTCACCGCAGGCTCCGGGAACACTGCCAGGGTGAGACAAGTCCCCACCAGCTCAGTGCCTATGGGCATCCAGGTCTGGGGTGGCCCTGTGGGCAACTTACTGTGGATCTCCATGACCTTCTCCATGGAGCGGACGGCATTGGCATTGGGTCTTTGCTGTAAGACCTTTTCTGGCAGAGGCTCAAGCTGAAAAACAGATACAAGGGTACCCTGAGCCTGAGGACCACACGGCAGTCTGAGCAGGGAGCTCGCGGAGGGCAGCAGGGTGCGGTAAGTTAAGGGGCTCGAAGGCCAGTGGTGACTCTGGAGTCTGTGCACCTGCTTTGTAAGCTGGCTTTTATGCCATCAGTGTGTCTGCCTCGGAAGCCTAAGTACATTCATGGGCTCCTAGGAGGAAGAGGACGAAAGTGAGGGCTCCACATTGGTGGTGGCCTCGCTGTCAGCACAGGGGCAGCTGACAATGGCCAGGGGCTCTGGTCTTGGCCTCAGCTCTCAGTAGTGGTCAGTAGAGCCTTGTGGGTTTGCTGGGCCTGACCCACAAAGGTGCTGTGATCATGGTGCTGGCTCCATACGCCAGTGCCCCAGCCCAAGGGACTGGGCCTGTCTCGCCTGCCTGCGGTTGGTGTATCAAGGTCATGGTGCAGTACGATGCTGGGCAGGGTCAGCTGAGCCCACCAAGGTGACCCACATGGCCCTCAGGTAAGAGAGCAGAGCTCTGTGAGCGACGGCTCAGCTGGGCTGGGCAGCATAGAACAAGAGAGGACAGGCTCAAGGCCAGGGGGAGCCATGGGGACCTGCTGGTCACATGAGACCAAGTATGACCGGCTGAGCAGTCAAGTAACAGCCCAGGATGAGAGTTCAGGGAGATGCAAGAAAAAAATCCAATAGGTAAATGCAGGGGAAGAGACAAATGTTCCTCAGAGGAGGCTCGGCCCATTCCTAGGAGGGGCAGCTTGGTGCCCCACCTGCGATAACCCACTGCAGTGGGGACCCAGTGACCTGGTGCCCTCACAGAGAGGAGTCCCACTGATATTTGAGGGACACCTGTCCCAGCCCGCCACCATGGGAAAAAGTCACACACACTTAGACCAAGGGATGGTGCACCACAACTGGCCAGTGCTCTGGGTCATCTGGGACAGTAGAAACAAGGGAAGACCGAGAGCCGGCCTTTGACAGGGACAAAGGACACAGGGACCACATGCAAGCAGGGACCCTGTGGCATAGGCAGGGCATCTCAGAGACTGGCACCATAGCTGGAGAGCCAGACAGTGAGCTGCAGCCACATGGAGGAGCTGCGCAGGGCGGCAGAGGCTGCATACCACTTCTCAACAGCAAGGGAGGCGGGGAGACGGCACTTGGCATCTTCAGGGCATCAGGAGGAAATGCTCTGAGCCCAGAGCTGTCTGCCCAAGGGGACTGTCACTAAGAGGTCCTCAAAGCAAGCTGAAACACTGTGCACATGAGACATGAAGGATGCAGGGAGCCTCAGGGATGACAGAAAAGAGAAGCAAAGACAGCCGCTCCAAGGCCTCAGAGCCAAAAAACAGAGTGGGGCAACAGTGAAACTGCTGTCCACTCAGGGACCTTAAACAAAAACAAGAGGCTTGCTGCCACTGGTCACTATGCCACGACCTGGGCACAGATCCAGTCACATGTGAGTTTCTGATCAACATGTCCAAGCGTGTCCGTGTAGCCTGATGGCCCGCATGGGTTATGCAGCCTGGCTCTGACTGTGGCCGGGGACTCTGCCTGATGCGCTCAGGGCTGTGTTGGCGGCTTCGAGGGTCCCTAGGAATGCAAAGGACATGGGCTGCATATCCGCTGATTCAGCATCAAGAGCAAATGGGGTGCAGGGGGCCTCAGCCACAGCAAGGAACGGTGAGGAAGAAGAAAAAGCTACAGAAAACAGGGCAGACAGATCAAGACAAGATGACAGAATGAACCTGATGAGATAACTGAAGTTTCCACTTCGTGGAGATTACTGGATCAGATATGAAAAGGATGGCAGTGTCCTGCCTCACACCATTTACAGATGAAACCTCCAAGCTCAAGCAAGACAGGCCCTGAGGTGGCAGGGTACCACCTCAGACGCAGTGCACACTGGAGGGAGACCTCCAGCAGATCTGAAGATGGGGTGCTCCCAGGGGTGCACGGCTTTGAATGTCTGTGTTTGAGCAAATGGCTTCAGAGCATGGACACAGAGAATACGGAGGACGCGGAGGACGCGTACCTGCGCAGGGAGTCTGACAGCTTCCGGGAGCAGCAGAACAGAACTGGTGAGAAGGCCACCCTGAGTGTCACAGCGGTGAGCTCAGAGAAGGCACATGAACAGGACAGTGCAGAGCAGAGAGTGCTGGGGAGGGGACTGGTCACTCTGGACACACCTGAGGTCTGTGTGGAGTGACAGCAGTTGTCACATGTACCAATATGACTGGGGCCTTTGCTCATGCCAGGCCTACTCATGAGATGTGCTAACAGAGAACCTCAGGCCCTCATGTTTGGAAGTTAAGAAAACATAGCTACTTGTAGCTCAAGGAAGAAATTGCTATAGAAATGGAAATCAGAATGCTTAGAACTAAAATGTCCCTGGGCCCCAGTACCTGTCTAACCTGACACGAGCAGCACTTCAGGGGGACTTTCCACAGCTGGTCATCGGTGACAGCTGCAGACAGCTGACCACTGGAGCTACTCACTGGAGACATACCCGGTAAGGATGACGCACCCAGGTGGCAGGGCACAGAGAGGCGTGGGCTGCACACAGGGCTTCAGCCATCTGCCCAGCATGGAGCCCCTGCAGGCCACGTGTCTGCAGCTGGCTGCTGGCATGTGTGTGCACTCAGCTAGCATGCCGTATATCAACCCTCATCAAAGCCTGTTGAGGCAGAAGGACAGGCTCATCCTACTTTGGTTCATTAAAGAGGTTTTTAAAGCTCTTGATAAAAGGCCTGCTTCCTGCTTTTTGATGTGCTTTAGTAACGAACACTTTCCTATGAGCAGAGCAAAGGCGTGAGGAGGTGAGAACAGCCCCAGGTGAAAGCCAAGCTCTCTGCTGTGCTTCAAAGCACCTAGAGGAAGGGCTGTGAAGCTGCACTGAGGGTGTGCATCTGCTGCCCGTGAGAGCGGCACACAGGAAGACGGTGTCATGTGCAGAGAGGACAGGTAAATGGTCCTGACATTTGAAAAGGCAGCCTGGGAACCCAGCCAGAGCACTACTGGCCAGCTCCCTAGCACATGGCAGAATGCACACTGCCCGCCACAAGGCAGAGGACAGAGTATCTGGCACCCACCCAGAGCCCTGAGGAGGGTGTTGCCTGCCATGGGGAGGCCTTGAGTGGGCCCACCAGTGACTGTCACCTTTGATCTCTGCCGCCCTGATCCTGTCCCCATGTCCCAGCCATCCATCCACACTGCTGCTCCAGTGATCCACATGGGGGTGCCCGACTGTGCCCCTGCTGGGCAGGTCCTCCTGGGAGTGGTCCAGCATGCAGCCTGGAGCTCGAAGTAACCACATGCTCTCCTAGCCAGGCCCCTTCCCCCAACCTGAGTTGCTGTCCTGCTATCCCTGGTACTCGAGCCTCTGCTTCATCTGGTCCCTGTGTCTGTGCAGGTGGCTCACACAGGTAAGAGGGACAATGCTGTGAGGAAACAGCTGGGCAAGAGCCCTGTCTGCAGACTTCTGTGTCGTCAATGCAGTGCTCACCAGCACCTGCTTCAGGGGTCTAGCCACTACCCTGGAGACCCCACCAGGTGCCCAGGGACAGCCCTAGCCAGCTTGAGCACCCCTATTCCTGCAGTCTGGGTTTTGAGGAAAAGATTAGCTGAGTGACAGGCTCCCTTCCAGCCTCTGCTATCCTGCTGGATGGTTTCCCTGTGCGCCATCTGCACTCAGCCCTCAGCTTGTGTCTGGACTCATGCACGGCCTCCATGTCCTCAGAGCCAACTCCCACCCCCTGCCTGCAAACCAGTCCCCCTCTCCTGAGCCCCAGGCAGGGCCTTGTTGCTGACTTCCTTCAACTCTGGGCAGGGTGTGGCCCTTGGTCCTCCTCAGGCTCAGGCATCACAGGGCCACACGCCCAGCCCCTGGGCCCTGGGTCCCACACACCCTCTCCCTCCCACCTGGCCGTGCACCTCTGCCCTGTCAAAGTGTCTCCTTTGCAGGGACACGCAATGAATTCCATCTGGATGGCAAGGAGTGCACCGCCTCCGCCCTGAGAGCGAAAGCTTGGTGGGGCTCGCTCTGTGCCAGTGAGACCCAGGTGTCAGAGACTGCTGTGCAGGGTCTAGGTCTGCAGTGTAAGGAAGCACAGTAGAGCTTAGGCCTGGGACCTTGGCCACCCGAGCCCACTGAGAATTTCCTAGAGGGGAACTGCCCACAGAAGACGCCAGCAGAATAGGAAAAGGTGTTCCATGGGACAGCCTGGAAGTGGCAACCCACAGGGACAGGCACACGAAGCCAGCCTGACAGCAGCCTCCACAGCCCTGGCTCCTCTGCCCTCACCCTTCCTTCTGGCCACTTAAACAGCTCCCTGTGCAGGGGGAGCATTCCAAGTCCTGAGAGCCTGGCCTGGGAGTATGGGATCAGGCTGGATGTCCTCAGGGGCCTGTAGCTCTGTACCTCATTTCCTAACAAAGCAGACACGCAGGCTTCGGAGGCGTCGCAGATGGCTGTGAGGTCGTGTCCTCCCTCGAGGGCCAGCACGATGCGGCCACCAGCCAGGCCCATTAGCTGCTTCGTGAGGTACCCAAAACCTGCAACGGAAAAGGCCATGTGGAAGACAGTGCTTCGGGCAAGGCCAGGGTTGGTGAGACCAAGTCATGGAGAGCTTGTTTAGGGCTCCTGTCTGTCTGCTTTCAGGGCTCTCTCTGGGGCCAAGTCCACACCCCACCTTGCACTCTGCCTTCATCAACCACCGGGGCCCTGACTGCTCTGTGCATCCACAGGTCAAGGCTGGGCCACCCACGTGGGGATCACCACATCCATATCTGGGCAACTGTTTCAACTGAGCGCCATAGTACCCCTGTGCCCAGTGCCTGCACTGCATGTGGCACCTGGCAGTGAAGGTCACCACTGCAGCCAAGAGGCTGGAGCCGGCTGAGGGCAGAGCCCTGTAGTACCTTCGGCCTGGTGAGCCTGGCTGCGGGCCCTGATAGCTGCAGTGGGCATGGGGGCTGACTGAAGCTCTGAGCAGTCCCTAGTGTGAGGGGACAGGGATGCTGGCACCAAGGCCTTGCAAGGCCTGACCAAGCAGGTCGGAGTGTGGCAGGGGGCACTCTGGCAGGCATTGCACAGTGTTGGGCATGGCTGGAGTGTGTGTCCTCTGCCTGCTTACCTCACTGGCCTCGAGGCCCTGAGATCAGGGGAAAAATGGATCTGAGTGGCCACACTACAGTGGTTCTGTCTCCCTGGGGACACAGGTGAAGGCCTTGGCTGCTGGTCCCAGAGGCACTGGGCGGGAAGGCAAGTTCTCTCTGTCACTTGGTATGCACAGCATACTGGTCACAAACTACGCAGAACAGGCATGTTGAAGTGACCTCTATGGGTCCACTTACATTTGGCAGAGAGATTGTACCCTCCGAGAGGTGCAGGGTGGCCCTCCACAGCATCAAAGCCCGATGAGACCAGCACCATGTCTGGGGCAAACTCGCTGGCGATTGGCATGACCACGGTTCTGCAAGGGCAAGGGAAGGAAGGGTCACCAGGCTGGCAGGGACGGACAGAGGACAGGAACAGATGGTCATCAAACACAGCAGGCCCAGGGCATGACTGCACCTGGGTCTCCTGTGGTAAGCAGGGTGGAGTCTGAAGGTTCACACTTAGCCTGCTCACAGGGAGACATCACAGGTGTCTCACAGCCCACACCCCTAGCCCCACAGCTAGCATCTGTGGCCCAAGGAGGCTTTCTGGTATCCCGGAGGTGATCTGTGTGTTCATTCAGGTGGTAGAAGCACTCTCCTGGCTGTACCCTGCCCTGCCCACCTGAGGCCCTGTCCCCACCTGCTCATTCCTGCAGGGCCAGGGTGTTTACTTTCCAGGGCCCACTGATCCGGAGTAGCTTGAGGCGGGCAGCTTGAAGGGGGGCTTGATCGGGCAGCTTGAAGCTGGGAAGTGGAGCACCCTGGCAGGCTGTCTGTCCCAGCCCTGCTGAGACAGAACCTGAGACGGAACCCCCACCACTGAAGGGACCTGTCCCCTCAACACTGATGGTGATCAGAGGCAAAATGAGAACCTGGAAACACAGACCACAGAGAAGTTCCATGGGTTACATCCACTGGGGCATGCGAAAGACGCTTTACTCGAGAAGGGGGAGCCGTCCCTCTTTGCAGGGGACAAAGTGAGCTGCTTGTAGGGGAGCAGTCAGACAGCAGTGCTGTGCTATGCATGCTGCTGCTCACGCTCATCTCTGCCCCGGCCAAGTGGGCAGCAGTGACCCTGACAGGGAGGTGGGCTGATGCCCCAAAGCAGGCGAGGAAGTGGCCTGAACCTTCATCTCCCCAGGAAGCCCTGCCAGGGAGGTGCACACATACCACTGCTGCCCGCCTGCCCAACCTGTTGGTCTCTGCGGCACACGGGGTGGGTCACTATCCGCTCCCAAGGAGTGGGAGGCCACCTGAAGGGGTCCTTCTCTCACGCCCACAGAGCTCCCCCAAACCCAAACCCTCATTCCTTGTGCAGCTTCTGCCTTTCAGTGAAATGACCCGACTCTAGCTGAGTCAGTGCTCAGAATCCAATCCTGAACCACTTCGGATTGCAGTCCTGTCACACAGCAACTCAGAACACTGGGATGGAGGAGACAAAATCCTAGAGTTACACACAGGCAGCAGACCCTGCACTGTCCTCTGCTGACCAGGGTAACTGGGGCTGCCTAAGTGCCTGGCCATCACTAGAACACGCTGCCCAGTGTCCAAGCCCAGGAGAGCTCGGGAGGGGAGAAGGGCTTGGCCTGCTATGTGGTAGGCATTTTGGCTACCGTTTTGGCTTACACCAAGCAGTGAGTCTGAGGGTACCACACTCAGCCAGGCTCCCCATGCTCCTGGCTGAGCACAGACCCTGTGGCAGGCTGGAGAGGTGGAGAGGGAATCTGAGTGGGCCCTGAGAACCATCATCATCAGGATGTGAGGGTGCAAGGTAGGGGACCCAGGCCAAAGCAGCAAGCTTTTCCTGCAACAGCCTTCATGGTAGATTGCCGTCCTGTGGCCACGAGGTCTTTGACTGGGTTACTCAAGGCTGCCCTGTCTGTGAGCCCCACCTTGCACACGGCTGTGTCTTGCCCTGTGGCGATGGCCCCAACCCAGCCCCATCCACATGACTCTGTCCTACCCTGTGGTGATGGCTCTGACCCAGCCCGTCCACATGGCTGTGTCCCGCTCCGAGGTGATATCCCTGACCTGGCCTGTCCACATGGCTCTGTCCTGTCCTGATTCTCTGAGTCAGGCTTGTTCTATTGTCTCATAGAGTATAAACATTTAAACAGCACCTGCCTGGTGAGAGCAGTCCCAGTCCTGCCTGGGTGCCTGGATGCTGAGAGATGTCAATGTAGTCAGGTGGAGGATGCTGTGGCATCTCTGGGGCAGGACGCCTGGGCTAGTGTGAGCTGGGCCTCTCTGAAATCCTGGGTCTTGCTCTGCTCCCCACTTCCCCGCCCCTGCCCACAGGTTCCTGGGAGGCTGGTTTACTGACCTTGATGGATGTCTTGTCATGTGCCTTTCTCTGGGCACAGCTGCATAGGGCCTGCTGTGGTTTGGGTTGGACCTAAATCTGGCCCATGATTTCAACACAAAGCAGACAGTAGTGCAGATACCAGGCCACTCCTAAGGCACTTTGGGGCTGCCCAAAACCATGGGCTTTAGTCTCTGCCCTGAAGTCCTACTGAGCTGCACTGCTCCAAACCTCCCAGGATATCCCAGTAAACCATCACTGAGTGGGGTTCCCAATGAGAGGGGCCCCGTGACTGCACTTCCTGTGTGGCATTACCCTGAACCCAACCAAAGTCCACGCTCGAGCTTTAAGTTGCTGGACTTGCACAGCCTCTGGCACATGGGGTGTCTCCTGATCTGCATATCAGCCCACACCTGAGGTGACTGCTGCTCCGAGGCTGCTCAGGGGCATCTCAGCACCGTCAGTGCTCCTCTTGGGAGGTGACTTTTGTGCCTGAGATGGTATTAAAGACACTCCCTGCTGCACTGCAATGTGTCACCTCATCCATCACCTTCACACATGTCCTTGTTTAGCTGGTGCTCTGAGGAGGAGGTAATTCTGCTCTGCTTCAGGACAGAAGTCTCTGAAGATGGAAAGGTCTGGACACTTGCCCTGGGCCTTCTCCCAGGCGTCTTTCTCAGAAGGGTCCCTCCACAGGGTCACACAGCCTTTCCTAGGGTACGTGAGGGCAGGATGTACAAATCCAGGGTACCTGGTAGATGGCAGGCGTGGGTCACAGAGAGGCACCTGCTCTCACTTCGCCCTCAAAGTGAGAGCACAGACAGTGCACAGCAGGAGTGTCCAGGATCAGAATGCCCCATGGCTCAATCAGCGCTGTGTAGTACCCAGGATAATAGCCATTCTCCTGCCTCGAAGCAGGCAGCCCGTTCATATGCTGCCGTGGGAAGCGCCAGGGACTCTTCCTTCCAGGTACATCCCCTCCCCACCACAGGACCTTGCTTCTCAGGACCCTGGTCCTCCAGTGAGAATGCATGTACTGGCATGGCCCAGTGGTGCTCTGCTCCCCTCCGGTGCATCTCCACTGGCTCTTGTTCCCAGTTTCATGGCTACCCTCGGCTCACACCCAGCACATCCCAACCCCAAATGACTGAGTGCATGGTGCCCAGGTCACTGGTGACCAACTTGGTGGACGGGGTGTGCTGGCTTCTGAATGCTGCTGAGTTCTCAGTGGACTGTCTTCCATCCCAGCCTGGACTGCTCTTTGTGTCCCCACCGTGCTCTCCTCCCTCCAGCATGCCTGTGCTGCCCCCACCCACATCACCTGGCCCCTCTCAGTGCAATGTGGCCGTGCCCCCCGCACCCTACCAGCAGGCTCTGTCCTTCCTTCATGGGCACATCCAAGGGACCAGGTAGGACCATGTCTTCTACCAGGCTGTGAGACAGACCCCTCCGCCCTCCACTGCTGGAGACCTTGCAACAGCCCTGCTGTTGGCGTGAAGGTGAAGTGGCGCTCTGTCTGCAGCCTGTATCCCCTAATGTCTCTGGGCCAAACTTGTTCCAAGACTCAGCCTGACCGGCAGGGCCACCACAACAGTCCATGCAGGCAGCCCCGCCCCCACCCTGTCCCTTGCTTTTGTCCAGGGCTGGGCCAAGCAGGTCAGCCAGCGGTAGCAAAACACGATACTTCTTGGTTCCCGAGTGTTCTGTTTGTTCTTTCGGCTTCTGGAGTCACCACGCAGGGACCGTGGGTTCGTGTCTACCTGGGAAACCCTTGGAAGCCTTGGATTGAGATAAAGACAGGGAGGCCAGGCACAGGGCAGTGCTGTGCTGGGACTGCAGGTAGCCACAGCCAATGCAGCACCACAGCACGCAGGCACCCAAGGCTGTACACTAAACTGAGGCTGCATAAGGCCATCGCCTGGCATCTGGCGAGGAAAGCTCTGTGGCTCGAGTGGACCTTGGTTTCATCTGCATCATGGCTGACAGGGAGCCACAGGGTTGTGCCAGTTTGCTAACAAGGAGGGATAGCAGGGCTGAGGAAGGGACATCGCTGTGTGCCCAAGTGGCAGTGGCTTGGCCTGCCTGCGGCAAACTTCAAAGCTGCATCTGGCCTGGGACCAACTGGTTTGAATTAAGGCCCCTCTTGCACTCGAGTCTCTGAGCCCTAGGAGAAAGTGTTGCCGCTTCTGGATCTCATTAGAAGCAATCTTCTTATCTTTTCTTCATCTGAGGCTTGATCCCCTGAAAATGCAAGCTGGCAGGCCAGCGTCTGCCTAACAAGGTGCTGCCTTTGAGGCTCACGGCGGGCGGCCAAGGGGCGCCCCCAGGGCGGGAGGCTGAGGAAGAAAGGGGGAAGCCGGTCTCTGACCCTTCTTCCCCATCGGATGTCCAGGGAACCATAAATTGTAAACTTCAAAGTGTTATTCCACATTAAAATCAATGAAAAAAAACCCCAAACTATTTTCCCTCTGAAGGAAGCTATTGAGACTTTAAAGTGCTCACTTGGTGAGGTGCAGTCACGCACATACTTGGCAGGACACGAAGGCAGGCCAAGTGTTCCGGGGAAGAAAGGTCTGCTCAGAGGCTGGCCTGGCCAGCACTGCCAGGGGACAATGCCTGGGCCTGGGTCTGGTACCTGCTGCCAGGCTTCCATCTGGTTCTGTCCAGGGCCAGAGAGCCTCAGGCGTGATCCGAAAGGAGAGAGGACACCTGGTGTCCACCACCAAGAAGTTCACTTCATCTCTGCCCGGGCCGGTGACAGCGTCCGTCAGGCAGGAAGCCCACCCCAGCAGCCCTGGCAGCTTGCTGGTCTGGACACTTTACTCTCAGAGCACCAGTTCTGGGTGGGGAGATGACAAAGTATGCCAGTGGAGAGCGTGATACCCGCATTTCACAGGTGCAGCTTCACAGCAGCGGATTTCACATGTGTGTTTGTGAAAGTCCCACCTATGAGAGGCAGGCCAGGGTCAGAATGACAGGACTGCTGTCGAGGGGTGGAAGAAACCACAAACCCAACCATGGATCAGTGGGAGGGCTGTGGGGTGTCAGTGCGGTCTGCAGAGACCAGTTCTGCACCGAGCACAGGCCTGCTCTGTGCCTTAACTTACAAGCAACTGAGTGGCTTCGGAGACCCTGCCTACAGGGTGACCCCAACCTGCTCTGCAGTGGGGCTGGGAGCAGGATGAGCCTGCAGGGACTGAGTGGGGCATGTCACTTGGTCACTTGGAGACTGGGCCAAACCTCCACAGAAGGGTCCTCGCACTGTGTCTTCTGCCAGAAGCATGTGCGTGTGCGTGCGCGCGCACAGGCGCGCGCACACACACACACACACACACACACACACAAACACATACACACACGGGCAGAAACGTGTGCACAGCCTCAGAGGTGAGTGTCACAGAGGCAGTGCCACACAGTCACAGACATGTAATGTATGTGGGGCACCACCCACCCACAGGGACAGGGAGATGTGTCCACATACATGCCACAGACACGCGCCTCTACACACTGCACACAGGTTAGGCCAAGACCTTGGCTCTAGATCAGGTGGTAGAGAGAAGCTCCCCATGACGCCCGGGGGGACATGTGGGTGGAAGCTGCCTTCATCAGGACAACAGTGACCCCAGGAGAACATCTGTACCCTAAGCCAGCCCTCTGGCTGTGGAACTTTCTCACTGACAGCCTGTGACATCAGAGCAAATGCTTGGTTTAGGAACCATGCCCCGCAGACCTCATAGAGGAGGGAAACTGGGGAATAGGGGGCTGATGGAGGGGGTGCATGCTCCTGCATCTGCACCCATGCAGAGGAGAAGCAACTCATTTCCGAGTCACATGTGCTCATGCAGGGTGCACAGCAGTTTTTTCCCTGCAGTGTGTCCCTGAGCATGAGACATGGAACCATGACAACAGGCAGGAAGACATCAGGGTTCCCCTATGGTTTCCTGACAGAGCTGAGACCTGGGACTCACCTGAAGGCTGCCAGGTACTCCGTGTCTCCCATGGGGGGGTCAAGGCCACCCGTGAAGGCCATGTTGACGTTGAAGCCCACGCCTGGCCCCGTGCCCACCTGTGGGCATAAGGAGGAAGCTTATGTAGGCACTAGGGGGACCCGACCCAGTGGGGCTCAGGTATATCCTGGCTCCCCATGTGCTGTCACCCATGGGCCTGGCTTGCTGATGGCAGTGACAGTGTTTCCATGGGTTGCTCAGGCTTTTGTGGACCCCAAACCTGAGGGAACCAGGAGGCCACCTGTGTCTCCCTCAGGGACACCTGAGGACTGCCATATGGTGCCCTGGCTTTGCACCGACAGGGCCACAGGACTGTGTCTCTGGGTAGATAGAGAATGCGTGTGACTGCTGTCTCACTGCACTCAAGCAATGAGATGTGGTGTGCCCCTTGGAGGGAGGGCAGGTGGGCACTGCCACCCCGGAGTCTTGCTAAACTCCAGGCAGGAGGGAAGACAGGGACATGCCCTGCAGGAGGAGGGCCAGGCTTGGCTGCCATGCCTCAGCTCACCAACCCGGAACCAGGTGAGATGGGTGCTGGTGCAGTGCAAAGCTGTCTGGGCTTGGAAGTATCACTTACACTAAGTGAGCTTGGAGCCCTCTTCTGCCATGGGTGGGTGTGAAGCCATCTGTCCTTGGCCACCACTAGAGTCCCCATACCCACTCACCTCATCAGGTGCGCCGCTGCCTGGAAAAAAGTTTCCGTCGTCATAGCGGTGCAGGGACACGTAGAGGACACTGGGGTCACTGTAGAAAGCCTGCTGGGTTCCATTCCCGTGGTGCACATCCTGTGAGAGCGGAGGGGCTGAGAGCAGGGCCTCAGAGTTTGGCCCACCTGCCTAGCCACTCAGTAAAGGCTCCTGCTCACAGGATCCCCAGCAGTCCCCAGGGGAGGGCTTTGGGGACACTGAGGCTGCGCCTGAGCTTTACCCCCAGGGCACTGTTCTGAGCTGGCAGAGCATGGGGTTGCTGTCCCCACCCCGGTGCACAGCCCTGCTTCTGCAGCCATTTGGCCAGTGCATCACTGTGACGAGTATGACACCCCCTCAGCCTCATCAGGAGGCAGACAGAGACTAAGCGAGCAGCATGGCCAGGCTCATGCCCCTACTGGAACTGCCAGCCATATCCAGCACCACAGTGCCCATGCGACGCAGGTCCTCTGCCCATGCGAACTGCAGGGCCTCTGCCAGGCTGTAGCTGCCTGACCCAGGCCATGCAGCAGGTGGCCCCAGAGCAGTGTGCCTGGGGAGAGCTGTGTGAAGTGAGTGGCTCCAGACAGGGTACCTGCCACTTCCTTCCACTTGGGGGCCACTGCTCCCTGGGCTGTGTTGTTGAAACTGAGAAGGGCTTTGGTAATATAAATCATTACCCACCCCATACGCCTTGCCTTTATTTTCTGTTAAAAAACTGAACTGTCACAGATTTCTAAAAGAATGATCCACACATATACAAATAGTTTCCAGAAGAGCAGGACCAAGTGCTCTGCTGTTTGCTTCTAGTTCAGGAATCAAATGCCATCCTCAGGACTCTGGGTCAGCAGCCACGCAGCACTGCCAGGCAGAAGTGGATCTTGCTGGCAGGGCTGGACAGTGGCACCTCCATGGGATTCCCAGCTGCCAGGTAGGAGGAGGAGACCAAGGTGGGCTAAGACCCTGAACTCTGCCTTCCTCAGGCTGGGGATGAGCCACGACCCTGGCCACTGCCCTCCTCCATGGCTCGTGTCTGGGAAGGTCAGGACGCAGTGGGTGGAGAGCGTGTGACAGGCTCCCCACAGGTGTGGGCTGCACCCACTGCTCTCTGGGAAAGCAAAGTCTCAAGGCCAGGAGTCCACAGAGGAAAAGCCTGCAGCCTGCATAACCACTGCCAGAGAGACAGAAGCTGGTGCACTGACCCCCGCCTGGGAGGCAGCACCACTCACCCAGTCCACAATGAGGATCCTGCTCACACTGAGCCGCTGCTGCAGGAGCCGGGCTGCCACTGCCACAGAGTTGAAGTAGCAAAAGCCCCTGCAGGAGGCAGAGAGGCACCCATCACCCACCAGGGCACTGAGATCCTGTGAGCCAAGTGCATGGGCTCTGCCCTCCTTGGCCTTGAACCTGAGCTGACACCACCCATCCACCAGCCCAGCACAGAAGCAGCTCTGAATGCTCATATGTGGATGCATGGCACACACTGGAAGTACACACATGTGTCAGAGGCACACAATATGCACATACCACACAAAGGCACAGACACACACAAGTACACATACCACACAGCTGTGCTCTCACTACAAACACCAGACATGTGTACACGTCACACAAAGACAGACACATGTGTACACAAGCCACACAGCTGTGCTCTCACCACAGACACTAGACGTGCACATCACACAGGAACAGACACACGTGTACACATGCCACACAGCCATATTCTCACACAGACACATCATACAGAGGCACAGACACACATGTGTACACATGTTGCACAGCTGAGCTCTCACCAGATACCAGATATATATGTACATCACACAGAGAGACAGACATGTGTACACATACCACACAGCTGTGTTCTCACCACGAACACCAGACATGTGTGCACATCACACAGAGGTACAGACACATATGTGTACACATACCACATCGCTGTGCTCTCACCACAGACACATGCACACACACACATCTCACAGAGGTACAGGTGCACAGAGGCAGGCACATGTGAAGATTTGTAGGCAAACACCAGAAGTATGTGCATAGGAACATGCACATAGACATGTTACATATGTACAGGCACAAACATGTACATGTACAGCTACGTTGGGCACACCTCATGAATATACACGTGTGCACTCTTCACACAGACCTAGACACATTCACAACCTAAATACAGACCACACATGCACACAGTCCCGAATATGTATATGCACATGTGCACACAGATACACACATATTCACACAGGGACGTATCACAGATCAAGTGTACAAGACACCCATACACACAACATAGTGGATACACTAGCAACACACATACTACATAAATACACAACACACAAGTGCACACAAATGTGCATCACAGATCTACACACATACAACAGGGGTCCAGTTTTCTGCTTGAAGACCTCCAGTGAGAAGGTCTACTTTGCCTGCATGAACCATGGCTGCCCTCATGGACCCTCCTGGACTGCATGGAACCCTAGGATGTTACCCACAACATGCAGAGTCACCTGTTCTAGTCGCCTTGGACACAGAGGGTGCTGTTTCTGTCACCTCACATTTAGCTAGCCTTGGGTAATCTCACTCAGAACATTGTGGAGACAGGCTAAGAAAGGGACTCACATGAAAGCAAAAATCTCCTTATTCTCAGTTCTCCTGTCTGATTCACTGCCAGGATGGGTATGCCAGCTGCCTGAGCTCAGACTATGGCTGCTCTGACAGCCTGCACACCCCTGCCTGCCATCTCGTGCAGGTGTCTGTGGGTGCTATTTGGGCTCCTTGTTTGGAAGGCCCAAGGCCTTGGCTCATGTTAGAAAGGGAGCTTCAGAGGAGGAATTCTCAGAGGAGAAACCCACAGTGGCCCTGGCCTCAGGAACACGAGTGCTCTGCAGCGAGGGTGACTAAGGGCCCCTAGCCTGGGTTCATGCTTGGGTCACATCTCTCTGCACATGAAGTACGGATCTGCTTGAAACAGGTGTGGCCTGCACTCCCTGGACAGCCTGCCCAAGGCCCATCTTGCTCTCGCTGCTTCTGGGCCACACTGGACACCTGGCTTCACAGACACAGTGCCCATGTGTCAACTCACATGGGCGTGCTCTCCTCCGCGTGGTGTCCTGGGGGCCGTACCACAGCAAAGCCATTCTGCAGGTGATACAGACAGTGAGAAGATACAGTTTAACCACAAAAAAAAGGTTGTTACTAGCACTTGAAGCCTACCTGTGACCTAGGGGAAGACAGTCTCTCCCACCTCCTGGCCACCCTGCCTCAGGGCAGCATGCAGAGTGGCTGGGAGCCTTCGGCATTCTCTGTCTGCTGTTAAAGAGGCCTGCCAATTTCTAGGGCCTCCTGGGACACCGGGTGCTAAGGGTAGATGCAAGTCTGTCCTGATTTCATCTTCTGGGAACTGCTGGCAGGGCTTGTAGCCAGCCATGGGGGCCTGTGCAGCATGGGGGCTTGCGTGCTCTTGGTGCCCATGGTTTATGATCAGCTGCCACATGGTGAGGACCCAGGCATAGGCCCCAGGTGGTGGTACCATGCACAGCATGTGGCTGTGTTCCCATTCCAGAAATACTACAAGGTGGCCACAGCATGGCTGCAGGTCCCCACCCTGACACATCTGCAAAATGCTTGGGCTGTGGCTTAGAACAGCTCCTCCAGGAAGCCTCCATCTCACCCACAGCAGAAAGCCACATGGGTAGCTCCTGAAAGGCCTCCAGGAGTGGCTGGCCACCGAGGGGACAAGGGTCGTGGAGAGGGCAAGAGGCAAACTCAGGGGACAGTTCCACTCTTTAACAAAACAGCGAAACCTACTTCCTGGTCCCAGCCTGCAGTGTGCCTGCAGGGTGTGTTTCCACGGTAACCCTCCACTTCTTTGGCTTTGGCTCTGCACCAACGGCATGGAAGCCCCAGGAGGAACTGCTGGTGCGGTAGTATAGCTGTAGTTGAGCAGCAGCACTGGCCCTGGAGGCCTTCACTGACATGCATTTGTGGGTGAAAGGCAGTTTCCTCCAAGAATGCCCTGATAAGCTTGTAAAAGGTGCATGATTTATGTCCTCAAGACACCCCTGCAGCCAGGAGGGATGTGAAGGGGGCTCAGAGTCTGCAGGAGGTCTCCAGTGAGAGCTGTGCAGAGGGTGAGGCCTGCTGAGGTGGCTCCTTCCTCTAAAAGGGCCCACACTGCTTAGAAGAAGGACACACCAGCTAGTCTCCTACCACCAGCAAACCGGAACCAGTCCCAGAAACAAGGAAATGGGCCTGTCACACAGAGAGAAACCATAGGCAGTGGGTAAAGGGGCTGCACTTGAGGTTTCCAGCTCTCCTGGGACCCAAAGGGTTTTCTGTGAAAACAGGGGGCTTGGACTGGGCATCATGTATGAGGACTTGGGAACTCCACTTTCCAAATGACCCCACAATATTAGAAAACCTCCTACAGGTCAAAGGAAGGCAAATGGGTCTTAGACAGGCACAGGAGGTGCCAGATCCACACAGGTTGCCTGCTAGCTCCTGCCACCTGCCAAGTGTGGCCACAGAATTAGGGGATTCTGCAGCTCTCCATGCAGACGCCTTCCCTCTGGTCTCACAGGGCGTGTGGCCAGGGTTTCTTCATGGATGGCAGTGTGTGAAGGCAGGTCAGTGCCAGACCCAGAGCACGGGAATCCAGCTGCTGGGCACTAGGCCATTCTTCACTGTCATTTTAAATTCCTATCTTAACCGCAAAGTGGCCAATTCTGATACACTGTCATTCATGCACAAGTGCCCCGGGACCCTCAGCAACTGTGTGGAATGCACATCACTCCCAGCACTGACTTGTGAGGGGCTCTAAGGCCAACACGTTTGTTTCTCGTGGGCAGACAGGAGCCCCCAACAGGGCCCTCTGAGCCTGATCCTGTGGAAGGGCCATGGCCTCCCCTCCCGACTAAGGTGGCCAGCCCAGCACCATCAACCCCGACTGACCTTCAGCTCCCCTGTGGCCACCTTGAAGACTAACTCCACCACGCAACCCACAGCCAGACGGGCCGCACTTGACGAGTGCACCTCATTCCAGATGGTGTCGCTGTCCACCTACAGGAACAGTGTGCTGTGGTCAGCATCGCCTCCACCCTGAGGGTCCCAAGGTCTGTGCTTGGCCCCACAGCCCATCTACTCCCTGCCAGGGCAGACCCTGTCATGCTGGGCTCGGCTCTTTTTCAGGATGGGCCACAGAGCACTGATCGAAAACGGAAGCGATGCTTTGGAAGCAATGCATGTGCCCACCCTTCTCACGGGCCTTCCCTTCTCTTGGCTGCTTCCACAAGACACCAGCACATTGTAAGCACATATGAGCATGTTAAGGTTACTGTGGCCCAGAGCATGGAGTTACTCTAACAGCTAACAGAATGAATTTAAGGGCTTCCTCAGTTATCTCTTCAGAGTGTGGCTTGCTCTGTGCTGCATTTAGCTGAGAGCTCCAAGTGTGTGTGAGCACTGTCCCCGACTTGGGGTGAAACTTCTGCCTGGATGACAGGGAGCCAGCTCTGCCAGCTGCTTCCAACTCAAAGGGAAAATGATCTGTGAGTCTGTATTTTCCAGGCCTGACTGATGGGAGAGTGTATTTTCCAGGCCTGACTGATGGGAGAGGGAGTCTGACAGCCAGGTCTGCGGAGGTAGCCCCTATGGAACCTGGGTGGATCAGAAAGCTGGGACACAACAGCCCTGGGCAAGCTGGCACAGTGTGCTCCTGAGTACAAAGTTTGGGAGCCAGCTGGGCCTTTCCTGGGAGCCACCCAGCCTGCAGAACGTTCTGCTTGACCACGGCTTGGCAACCTTATTTCACGTCAGCATGGGTTTGCAGATCCATTATGATGCAGTGGGCCTCTGAGCTTACTGAGACTCCAGTGCTGGAAGAGAACTGTGCCTAGGCCTGCCCCTGTCCCTGTCCCTGCCCCAGCCCATGGAGCTCCTGCCCACAGTGAGGCCAGAGGCCACCTGACAAGAGGCTGATCACTGCAGGAAGGCTCAAAGTTTCGCCCTCTGAGCAAGACATTCCTAAGCAGTGTATTCTGTGAGGGTTACTCTCTTCTGTGACCAAAACTATATCCTTGAGATTGCTTCCAAATGTCAAAAAGGATGCTTTTAACCTCACATTTCCTGCTCTGTGGTACCAACACCCAATGCCTACAGAACGGCTTCTATTTTAAATAACACTGTGTGAGGATTCATCAAAGTGACCAGATGAACAGGGGTATTCTGGTTGGTTACTTCACCTGGAGAATCCATTCACTAAACTCAGGCCAGCAAGACTCCCATGTCTCTGGGGGCAGGATTGTCCTGGGCAGGTCTACATCTATGGGGGCAACACAACTCAGAGTTCCCTCCAAAGGGCCTGGCCTCCAGGCTGAGCAAAGGCAGTAAGGAGGGGACAACTGGCCACACTGTCTGCTCTGTGGCTACCATGTACTCCGCTGTCCTGGTACCATGGGCTGCTCTGCTACCACAGGCAGTATCTGCAAGGCCTGCCAGGAACAGCTGACAAAGCACCAGGGCCATCCTGGCAGCCTCTGTTCTACCTGACAACATCTGCTGCTGCTGCCAGCCCCATGATGTTGGTGCCTAGCTCCTGGGAAGCAGTGCAGGGGTGAAGCTGCCAGGTCACGCCGGAGAAGCCACAGGGTCTGTGGCATGAGTGATGCCACTGCTGATGCAGGAATGGAAGGAAAGAGCAAATGGCACCCTCCATGTATTTCTATAGCAAAGACACGGGAAAACAGGTGGGTGGGAAATGTGGAGCAAGAGTCTTGGAGAATCACAGGGAAACAGGATAAAAGCTGGGGGATCTCAGAGCTTCTGGAGGCTGACAGAAGCCATGGCAAGCTGGGGGCCACTTGGGCCCAGACCACATACACAGATAGGGCTGAGGCAGGCCAGGGAGCACAGCAGAACCCGGGGATACCCTCTCTTCACTATCTGGAAACTTGTAATACAGAGGAGGTACACTGGGCAGAAGTTTCTTTCATTTCATTTGGAAAAAAAAAAAAAAGGTCAGAACAATTTAAAACCTGTATTTAACAGGGTTGAGGAAAGATGCTTTAATGTCTGCCACGGAAACGCCAATTTGAGGCTGCTTCTGGGAAAGCGGCCAGCTCTCTCGTTACCTGTTCTCTCATCTGGACATAGTGCCTGCTCCCACTGGTTTCCGACACCAAGGGGCAAGCCAAGGCACCGAAGGACCTGCAGCTGTGCAGCAACCCAACAAGTCCATCCAAGCCAGGCTGGGTGCCATACAGCCTCCAGCCCCTCTTCCAGTGTTGAGGGTGTGTGGAAAATGGGCAGAAAGGGAACTGAGGACACTGTGGATCACACTTTCCCTACTCGCTCCTGCAGGCTCCATTGCCCTCACCCAGGGGGATTCTGTGCCCAGATGTGAGGGGTAGCTTTGGCCACCTCCTGTGTTTAGAACTGGCTTTATCATTTGGGAGTGAGTGTCTTGGGCCTGACCTCTTCAGGTCTGAGCTTGCATTTAGCTTTCATTTGTAAATTATAAATTCTGCCTTGCACAGCCCTGCTGGCTGCAGGGCAGTGCAAATCCAAATCTTTTTTAAGTATGGCCAAAAACTTGCCCTGAATTAAGAGATTGCAGCCTATTTACAATACGAAATAAAATAACTCTAAGAGCCCTCGGTGTGGTATGAATAAATGCTGTTTTATTCGCTTTCTGACTGGATAATTATCAAAGCAGTGATTTCTGTAAAGACTCCGGAAGAAAACAATTTTGTTTCATTTCCATAACAGAATCCAGACCTCAGACTTTGCCCTGGACCTGTGATTACACACACTGCAGCTTCATCTCTGACAGCTCTTGTTGTCTTCTGGCCCCTACCTCCTCGCCTGTCTGGAACCTCTGCAGGGTCCCTGCTATGGGGGACATGCTGGATGGTCAGCAGCACCTCAGCCTGGCCTCCCCTATAGACTGCAGCTGTCTCTGTTGCTGCTCAGCCTCTACCTCTTAAAGGGTATGGGTGTTTGTTGCAAATGAGGTCTGGCTCTGGGGCCACATCTGCCTTGTGCAGAGGGAAGACTGCGCTGGGATGGAAGGCCTTTGTGTCTCCTGCCTGTTTTCGTATGTGTCTATTTTGGAACATGATCTGCATGTAGGACAGACGTCACCATAGGCCAGCTGGTTGCTTCACAGATGCCACATGGCTGTGGCGACATGGTCACTGCATTGGGAGCTCGGCCCATGGCTCTGGATTGGAAGGAGACATGGACAAGCATATCCTGTCCTCGGATGCTGCTGTGCACTCAGAGGAACTTGTGGTCTGCAGCATGTCCTGTCTCCCAGCTGGAGAGCTGGCACATGTGCGCGTGCCAGGAGACCCTCCTGAGAAAGGTGCCTGAGTTCGGCGATCAAACGCTCCCGGCTCTCAGTGCCTTTGAAGCCACACATGGACCTGTCTGCCCAGCAACAGCCGTTTATGGAAAACGCCTGTCAGCAATTAACCATGGAAGGAAGGCAAGGGGCACCTCTGTGACAACTGGGAAATGGCGCTGTTTCCATGTTAAAGAGCTACTTACCCCGACACCACCGCAAGGGAGCCTCACAAACACGGAGGTCAGGGAGCCTGTGGGGAGAGGACAGGATCAGTGGCTAGGGACCCCCCAGTTCTGGGGATGCTCCATTCTCAAATGGCACTGTGGTACCTGGGCTGGCACAAAAAGCAATGCACCCTCATGTGGCACAGCCCAGCAGCAGGTTCAGCCTCTCCATGGTATCAGCCTTCCACTAGGGGTGGAGTGGGAGAGAGGCACACTGGCCTCCCGCTGGTGCCCAGTGCAGGTGGGAGGGGAGCCCTGTACCCTAGCTGTGCCTTCTACAAATCCTGCTGCCTAGACACCGGTACATCTACTGCGAGTGCCACTGCCAGCTTCACTAGGGCACAGGCCTCAACCGCTGTGGGGGAGGCAAGACCTTTCGGAAACTGCAGCTCCCACTCAGGTCAGGCACACGTGACTTGGAAGCTCTGCAGCTGTCCTCTGCTCCCCATATCACCAGGGCTCATGTATACTCAATGACAAGGATGCTCCATAGAGGGAGTCTGTACTCTCTGTGTGACCCTGGAGTGGACAGAAGGCAGGAGACAGGAAGCCTGACTATCATGAAGGCTGGGAGAGCCCACAGGGGCAACATGCAGATGTGAATGTGGCTCGTGGTGTCCTTCAAGGACCAGCCTTGTGAGCACTGCTGGGAGGTCCACTCCCTCTCCTGCCCTGACCACCCTGCTCTGATTTCAGGGACCTATGCCCTGGCACCAGCTTGGGGCCAGCTGGGTCAGCCCTGCATGGACAAGGACAGCACTTCCTCGTCTCAGTGGTGCACAGAGCCCCTGCTAGGGCAGCCAGAGGTGGAAGGTGGCGGGTGCCACTGCCTTCTGCTTGGAAGGCGTGGTGATGCCACACTCCAGATGTCCCCAGCATGCCATCATGAAAGGCGTGGTGCAGAGCACTGATGTGGATCCACAGCTCTGTTCTCCTGACTCTGCAGAGGCTGGAGACCAGGAGTCCACATCTGGAGGCCAGGACGGCTGCCCTGTGGGTAGAGGTGGAGGTGGCCAGAAAGGCTCAGTCCAGTCTGGGTAAAGTAAATGCAGCTCAGCTGGCAGAGCCCCTGTATCATGGCCTGCATGTGTCTGAGGGGCCTGGTGGGCTCCATGTGGATGGGCTCCTGCTTGACCTGAGGCAGCAGGCGCTGAGCTGGCTCTGCACTTGTCCTGCTGCCCTGTGTGTGTGCTCATGCACTTGGAGTAGCCCCATTGCTGTGCCTCCCACACAAGCCAGGACCCCCAGGTCCCACCTGGGAGGTTCCCACCATCCTCCCAGTTCCTGGCTCCCTGCACATGGGGCTCTCAGGCTTGGGTCCCACTTCCACACGAACATGGGGTACACAACTGCACTGCTGGCTGCAGTTCCCTGGGGTCTGGTGGGTGAGGCTGGGAGGAGGAAAGCACAGGTCCTGAGCAGCACTCAGCTGTTTGCTGCTGTGTCCTGCCACAGCCAATAGCTTGTTTCAAAGCTGTGACCAACGTGGCATCGGCCCAGGGAACCGGTGGGGCTGGGATAGCTTCAGGAGTGGCCCTGTCTCATCAGTTCCCATCTCAGCACAAGGCAGGGTAGTGGGTGTGCAGAGCTTATTCTTCCAGGTCACCCGAGCATGTGTGCACACACATTCATGCACCCAAAGTTGGTATCCAGGGCTCCGTGGGAGACAGATTCCCCTCAAAGTGAGGGGACATAGTGAACATCTATGTTCAAACCCAAAATCCTCTGGCGACCAACCTTTCTCATTACCCAGGGGCATTCCCACGATGAAGCAGAAACCTTGCGCTTGGGCAGTCAGCGGGCTTGGAGCACTCAGCAGGAAGCTGCAGGACCTGAGATCCTGCATGTCTGTCTGTCACCAGCAGCCTCTGCATGTCCGTGCTCTGGAGTGCCTGTGCTCCCTTGCAGTCTAGCTCTCCCTTCCGGTGGTTTGGGGTTACGGTCATCCACCTGGGCTACAGACCTCTGGCCTGAGGCCTGAAGACTCACTCTCCCTTGTTTGTCTTGCCGACCAGGAGGTGCTCTAGTGGCAGGGATGAGGATGGTGGGAAAGACACTGCTCACCTCCTCAGGAGCAGCCTTCCGGAGCACCATCCAGACCATGTTCCCCCCACAGAGCACTGCTATCAGATGCCACCATTAGATGAAGCCAAGCATGGTGCACTGTCCGCCACTGTCTGCAGTCCACTGCAGTCGAGCCTCCTGGTGTGCCCATCACCAGGCCAGTAACCAGCTACGATAAGCCTTGAACAGTTTAGATACTTGCAGACTCAATTCAAAGAGGAGGGAAAATCACGCAGCAGCTGTTTAAACACTTAATGAGATAAGTTACTGTAACAGAATCTGAGGAAACCGGTGTTCTGTCTGAACCACTTGGCCTGAGGGTGGCGTTTTTTGGTTAAGAAAACAAGCAGAAGCGACACAGCCTTCTCTCGAGTGGCAGGATGATTGGCGGTATCTTTGTGCAATTTAAACATGCTTCAAAACACCAGCATAGCAGGAAGAGAAAAGATGCTAGAAGACTCTCACCTAGCACGTGTGTGGGTGGAGGCCCACACCACAAAGCAGCCAGACGATCTGAAGTTGGGGGAAAGCAAGCTCCACGCTCTCACACATGTTCCTGTCCTGTTTCCCATGGCACTTCCATCCAGGGCCTCACTTCTGATTTAGTACCTGGTCTTAAACTGGTCTGAAACTGGCTCAAGGACCCAGAGCATTCTCTAACGGGTGAATTCACATCGCCTCTCCTCTGACTGGGGCACCATCTCCCTCACTCTGTGGGGTGTCACTGGTTTGTAAGATTGGTATTGGTGTGCAGAGGGCTGGGCCACCATGGGCCCCTGAAGATGGACACTTGATGTGGTCGGGCTATTCTGCTATTTTGTGGGGAGGCTCAAGGCAGGGAGCCCATGTGAAGTGTCCAGGAGGGCTGCCCAGCAATTTCCTGATGGAGGATGATATCTCGTCCTGGCAGCACTGGTGACTGTGGGAACCGTCCTGCTTCGTGCTGGGGCCACAGCAGCAGCTCCCACACTGGAGAGCTCTGCCCTATGCTACACCCATGCTGACCCTGGAGCCTCTCCCCTGGGTCACTCCACATCCCCCTCAGATCCAGGATACCCTGCACTGCTGCAGCTGTCAGGCTTCCGCAGCCTGCTCTTCCCAGAGCCAGTCTCTGAGCCTGGCTCCTGTGCAGGACCTCCTGGCACAGCTCAGAGCATAGGGCTCTTCCCAGAGGACTCGAGGAGCCTGTGCCAGGCACATGGTCTTTGCTAGCTGTGCTGGCCTCTCCTCTGGCCAATGGTCCCCACTTGGAGTGGCTGTCAGGGTCTCTTGAGGACCCTTATGATTCTCCCTCCTGTGATCAAGCTACCACACCTGGACTGGGGACAGCAGCTCAACAGCAAGGACAGAATTCACTATTGTGAGGTGATCCCTGCAGGAGGTGGGCCGAGGGGACCCTGTTGCACTGGCAGTGGTGGGCTGGGTTCTGGATGCATCTCGGAATGGGCCCAAATGCTGAGGCCTGCAGGGCTGGGAGCAGATTTCCTTGCTCTAGGGCAGGGCTGGTGGCTGGGATACCGGTAGCAGGGTGGGAGTGCAGAGCAAGGACTACATGGCTAGGACCACTGCACGCCCAAGAGGAGCCTGGGATGGTGTGGCCCACACAGTAGTCTAGAAGCACATGGTGCTGCCACACTGGGACTCCCCTTGGGTGCCCGGGGCCGGCCTCCTTCCTAAGGCAGCTTACTCTTTTCTTTCCCTTTGTTGAGCTTGTCCTCCAGGGGCTTTGTGACACAGAAGCTCCAGAGCTGCCATTCCCAAGGGCTTGTGGAGGTCCACTGTGCCTTCCAGCTCACTGGGCTGGGTGAAGACTTTGGCAAGGGATGGATGGGCTGTCCATGCTGGCCCTGCCCTCTGCTGAGCAGCTGGTCACCCTGGTCCTCTCTGGAAACTTGCACCCTCCTCCTGGCCCCTCTACCGCTTAGTGGGTCCTCACACCTTCTTGCCAGTCGCTCCACAGCCACCCTCATCTCCTCTGTCAGGACCTCCTCTTGCCACTTGTCCTCCCAGCCTCCAGCTGCTGCCGTTTTCTCCACTTCCAATGAGATGGTCGCTGCTTTGCCTCAGCCCAAGGACTTTCTTCCACCTCTACCACCATGCTCTTGATTTTCACCTTCACTGAACACTCTGTACCTTCTCCTTTGCCTTGTGTGCTGTGGGATGCAGTGTCTTCTAGGGACACTAATGATGGCTTTGCTCACTCCACTTGCTTGGCCTCAGGCTGCAGTTCCCTTGGATGCCTGCTCATCATGGCATTCTGAGTCTGCCGATGACAGGGGCTCTGTAACTGCAGGCCTTGGTCAGGGGCCTTGAAGTGGCTGTCGGAGCCTGCGGTTGGCCGATTCCGTGGAGCAGTCTCCTGCTTTCTGCCTGGAGGGTAAGGACAGGTGCACTGGGGCAAGGAAAAGGAGGTTTCTTTCCAGACCAGGGAGCCCTGCTGTGCTCACTCTGGAGACGCAGCAGCTGGTCAGAACAGGGGAACCAGGGTTCTGGCGGAGGACCAGAGGAACCTCCATCCGCGCTAGGCCCATCCCCAACTTGAGCTCCTCTCTGGCGCCTTGCCTGTAGCCCTGAATCCCTGAGCTGCTGGTGTCAGTGGGTCTACTTCCTTGCCTTTTGGATCATGTCCCCTGCTGAGGCTACACCAAGTCCCAGGGAGGATTTTCAGCCTCCAAAGTTTACTGTCATTTGCCCTTCTCTTGGTTCTGCAAATGGCTGCTTCCACCCATTTCCAGGCAGCGGAACACAGAAAACAGCATGATGTCCCAAGGTTGGTACATACTGGTGTCCTCACAGCTCCCAGGCAGGATGGGCTCCTACAGGGTGCCTGCTATGGAGGACACCCTCCAAGTGCATTAGTGTGCGCTGACCAAGAAGCGGATACATGAGTCAGTGGGCGAGAAAGTGGGAGGAGGAGCAGTGAAGGAGCACAGAAAGAACGAATGAGTGAGAAAATGGGAAAGGGGAAGGAGCAAGGAGGGGTGAAAGTAAGGGGGAGTAAGGGCACCTCACACCTGTGCAGTCTGCCACACACAGGTCTGGCCCAGAGTAAACCTTCCACTGCCCCGCACGCCACATGTGGGACCAGCCACACCTAGCTGCTGTGACTGGTGGCTCCTGCCCTGGGAGATGCCGATGGGAAACACTGATCAGGGACCACCCTGCTCACAGTGGCTGCCAGCTGAGATGGCTCAGCAGAAACAAAAACTCGTGGAGGGTCAGCCCACATCTGTGTTCAGGGAGCCTCAGAGTTGTCCCAAGGTCTCTTCCCAGGAGCGCACAGGGGCTGTTCCCTGCCCTGTAGTGAGGAAGCCTGTAGAGCCTGAGGCATCTGTCAAGCTCCCCATGATCTGCTGGAGACCCTGGGATGAGGTGGGGAGCCTCTTGCTATTGCTTCTCCTGAGTGCCAGGCCTCTTCTGCACCCATGTACACAGGGACTGGCCCAAGAAACCAGCAGCCTCTGCCCTGAAGCTGGTGTTCAGGTGCCTGGGATGGGCGGCCAGGGTGACTCAGGCTTCCTCTCAGCCTTGCCCTAGGGGGCCTGGAATGGTGTCCAGAGCAGAGCCCTGAGCAGCCCCTGTCATGCAGACTGTGGACCAGGATCTCTGGATCGGTGGTCTTCATCCGTTCTGCACCTAAAGCATATACAAGGCACTTAGCAGGGACAAGCTGAAGACAGAGGGCAGCGTCTCTCCTGTAGCCCTCGACTGGCTCCAAGGAGCCTGGGCCACTGTGCCTGTACCAGATGCAGGGCCTGGGGGCTGGAAACCGAGCAGGTGAGGTTAAACCTAATGGGGATGTAAGGAAGGCTCTGAAATACCTAGAAGTTTCTTACTGTCCAGCTTCTGCCTGTTGAGAGGGTTTGTGCCGTAGAGGAGCGTGTGGGCCTCCGAGTGTACCGTCTGCAGCTCTTCCAGTGTGGCCTTCCGTCCTCGGACACACTGTGGGGACAGAGTGGAGAAGTCACGGCTCCATAGATATCGCACTTGCCCGGAGGGAAACTCAGCTTGATACAGGAACACACAGTTACTGGGTCATCCCAAAACACAAAGCAAATTTTGCCTGACACAATATTTAAAAAAACAGTTTAGAAACTGTTTTGAGGCCGGGCGTGGTGGCTCACACCTGTAATCCCAGCACTCGGGAGGCTGAGGCAGGAGGATCATTATGAATTCGAGACCAGCCTGGGCTACAAAGTGAGTTCAAGGCAGCCTGAACTGCATAGTGAGGCCCTGTCTCAAAAAGACAAAAAAAAAAAAAAAAAAAAAAAAAAAAAAAAGAAACTGTTTGGAGGACTTGCACTTTATGTGTAGCTTTGAAAGTCATTTAAGAAGAGAGTCCCAGCCTTCATTGTGCCACCATCCACTGTCATAAAGGTGATCTGGCAATCGATTATCATAGTGGCCTTCAAAGAGCAGACAGCTGCCAAAGGAAGAGTGGGCTGTCCTCATCAGCTCAAGATCAGCTCCTGGGGAGCCAGAGCCCACCATCCTGAGCACCCTGTGGGCCCCATGCAGGGAGCCCCTCAGCAACACAGGCTGCCTGACCAGGGATCTGGAGGACTGCATCTCTATAGTTTGGAAACCCCTTAAATAAAGTTGGACTATTTTCAGATTTGTTTCAGAAATTAACAGAAAAATTAACATGTTCATTGAGTTATTTCCTTAAGTTTAGAAGGCAAGTGGCTCAGATGTGAGATCAAAGCCAGCACCCCCTACAAGCCAGCATCTGCAGGCTTGGTGAAGGCAGGGAGGACAGCACCAGGGCTGTGATGCTGCCTGTCACTTGGCTTCTGGCCTCATCCTGGCCCAGTGTTCACTGACCTGCAGGTCTCAGTATCTGAGCCTTTGTGAGCCTCACAGCTGGGGCTGTGCTGGGCTCTCTAATGGCCCACCAAGGGCAGGGACTGGGTGGGGAGCAGCCCTGGCTGGGGAGGTCCACATTGCTTGGTGTGCTGTGATCCTCACAGCAGACATGATGGGGCCTGTGCCATGTTCTGTCTAGGCAGGGTCCCAGGGTGCCATGCGCTGAGTCATGACCTACAGTGCTGAGAAGCGCCTTGAATGTGGAGGGCAGGAGAGGCAGGCAAGGCCAGCAGCCAGAAGCGCCCACCTGCCCAAGGCCAGGCCCTTGTATACAAGGGGAACTGGAATGAGACATTCTGACTCAGACCAGAGGCAAAGCTGCTAAAGTGAATGCTAGCATAAGCTACAGAGGAGGAGTAACAACACTTGTCCTCACAAACACCGGAGAAGGACCAAACAGGAAGCTCTGAGCCATGGGCACCACACAGACCTCCTGCTGGTACACATCCCACCCTAGGGGTATCACCACCCTGGGTTCGGACTCCTCTGGCTACTATCTCGGTGGTTGGGGACCGGGACAAGCTCAGGTTCTCAACATTGAGCTGTCAGGCAACCAGGCTGGGCAGCTCCGCTCTGCTACTTCATGAGTAAGGGTGCTGGCTGGAGCCTGGAGGCGACAAGAGCTCCCCTGGGCTTCGTCCACACAGAACCCTGAGCCCCAGGAGGGCAGCACACCAGGACAGCGCCTGTCCTGGCGTTCCTGGTAACACTGCTGCATCTGCACTGCTGCTCAGTGCCAGGGCCCTCCGCCCCTGGGCTTCTCTCACCCACTCCCACCTGGCTCCCACTAGCTCTTCTGGCTGACAGTGGCCTCTAAGTGCTCTGACCTGAGTGGCCCTCCCGGAAAGGGAGAAGCTGAACAGAAGATGGGTATCAGGGGCCCTCAAGAACCCCATGATGTCCAGGGAAGGTCTGCAACAGCAGGATGTCAGCCTCATCCAGTGCAGCTGGCCACAAGGAAGGAGGATTTCCCTCACAGCCTGGTCTGTTTGGCGATGCTGCCCCCCAGTGGTGTAGCTGTCCCCTGGCTCTGACACTGCTGGTCAGCAGATCACCCTCCTCCAGGACAGCACTTCTGAGAGAGGTATGGGCAGGGCACTGGGCCATCACCCGAAGACTGGGCATCCCCACTATAGGTGGTGGAGGGAACTGGCCAACTCCTGAACGCGCCAGCTTGTGAAAAGGGAAGGTAGAGGGGCGGGATGAGGTAGCTGTAGCTCAGAGGTGCTCTGCACTCCACAGTGGCAGGGGCTGCAGCAGCCCTGGCCCGATGGGGGCAGCTGCTCTGGGACAGATGAGGGCAGACTCTTGTTTGTGGGATGCCTGGTACGGGTGTGGGGGTTATGGCGGGGCCCGCCTGGCAGGCACCCCAGGGTAAGCACCGTAGTGTCCCAAAATGGGACACAGGGCTGTCTGGGCCCCCAGCTTCCTGCCTCAGGCCCTCTCCACACCTGTGCTCCAGCAGGGCTGGCCACCTCATCCTCCTGCTCAGGGGGCCCAGCCCAAAGGCCAGCCTGGCCATCACCACTGCCAAGTACCACTGAGACCTCTGTGTGTGCTGCCCAAGGGCAGAGGGCAGGAACCCTGGAAGCAGGCTCAGGACAGACAGCCCAGTCTGCTCCTGCTTTTGCTGCTGCCTTGTGGGTACTTGCATCTGCGGGGAAACCAAGGCCAGGGTTCTCCTGCAGCCTCCGTGGTGTATGAGTACACACTCCAGAGAAGCCATCTGGCCTGGCCTGAGCATCTCCTCGTGCTCAAGTGACAGAGGACTGAAGGGCAGTGGCCCGGGCATCCTGGGCAACAGCAGGCACAGAAGGGAACTGCTTCCTGAGGGTGATGGCAAGGGAGGTGGCTAGCCACAAAGGAGGCAGATGAGGCGTCAGGGGGACATTGACGGGGGGAGAGTGCCAGTGGGTCAGACATAGGTCTCAGGAGAGAGCCTGGGCTCTGTCATGGTTGGGAGGCGGTCACCTGGTCCCTGGCGTGGTGGTGCTGAGATGCTGGGTCTGGGGGGAGGTAAACAGGCACAGGGTTACCCCATGGCCTCTTCCTCACATGGCCAGCTTCCCTCAACAGATGCACTGTGTGTCTTTCCCAGAGAAACCTGAGCCAGAGAAACCTCTTCTCATTACTGAGCACCAGCCCCAGGGAGTTTGCTATGGTGACAGAAACATGCTGGCTCATGGCTTCTGGGCAGAAGGCCTGCTGGGCTTCCTCCTCAGTGGTGCTGGTGCTTTCTGACCAGAGCCCAGGTCCCTCCCCCACTTGTGAGGCTCCTGGCGCTCTCACCTCACACTTGCTGCGGAGTCCAGTTTCCTGTAGGCGGGACCAGATGCTCTGGATCCTCCCGGCATGCTCGGGGTGGCTGTTCGTGTTCCCACAGGCACACTGGTGCTTCAGCATTAGCGTGTCGTACACAAGGCCTGCAGGGAGGCAAGGCTGGGTCACAGGAATGCTATGCAGGACGGGGACCGCAGGCCCACAGGGCCATGTACCATACATGCATGGCACAGGTCAGCAGGAAGAGGAGTTGAGGGCATGGCACTGAGCTCCAGGTGACAGCTGAGCAGCAGGGACTGCTGGCTTATAGGAGTGAGAGGTGAGCGTCCCCCATGGGCCAAGGTACCTGGTCACTGGCTAACCTCTGTGTGAAGTTGCTCTGGGATCCTGGGGCCTAATGGAGTATTGGAGTTCTCAGAAATATCTGGAGCAATGTGGGGACCTGCTTACAGGCATGTATGGGAGCTAGGCACGTGTGAGAGGGGCACACGGCACACAAACTCAGGAGGTGCTGTGTCCTGTGGGGCTACCACACCTGCTCTCAGACTGGGCCTGGGGCTGCTGGGCAGGGAATGGGAACCTACAGAAGGCAGAGGCCACTGACTGGTATGTGTCTGTCTCGGCTGAGGGCCGCAGGGAGCTGTGAAGACTGGGCTGTGGTAGCAGATGGATGCTTGATCCTGTTTGTGCTTCTGCTCCTGGGAAGAGGCAGGCTCACCCCGAGGGGTGGATGCCTGGCCCCAGGTGTGTGTCAATTCTCACACCTTCTAGCTTGGTCCCTTGTAAGCTGTGCTAATGGGAAACAGTGACCTGGACCTAGGGGTTCTGGGTGCCCTAGGGAGCTGAGTGCTAGAAGATGAGACTTCTGGGTAAAAAAGAAAAATGGCAATAATAGGGGGTGCGAGGGCAGCTGTGCCCAGGAGTTTGTGATGGCTATGTCCATAGTTGTGCGCAGACACTGCCCACCTGTGCCTGGACACACAGATGTCCCACCCACTATGGTCAAGAGCCCTGAAGATGAGCTGGTGCAGGTCTGCGACACCACAGTTTCCTTGGTGGGAAAGCTCAGGGGACCGAGGAGGCGTCAGAGCTGCTAGACCACCACTGCACAACTCCAGAAGGAACATGGCACTGGGTGTGGCTGGTGCCAGGCATAGGGGTAGGGGTGGGGCTAAGCCCACACCCCCAGCTGGCGCTGGCCCTTTTCTTGGTTCTCTACATGCCTTCCTCTGCGGGGACAGCATGCTCATGTATCAAGGAAGGCGGGTCTACATAGGGCACCAGCAAAGCGGGAGCCTGGAAGCTGTATACGAAGAGCCATAGGATGAGTCCACAAGCATGGGGCTGGGGTGTCCCCACTCAGAGGGGGCAGTCTGTGGCCCAGGCCTGTGCAGGAGCCACCTGGCTGGCTCAGGCGCTCTATGGTTTCTCCCTATTTTTCCTGAAAAGCAGGATCTTAATTTAGGGGTAATCATTGGCAATGATTTTCTTTGAATAGGAAGAGACCCCCAAGACTAGAGAGCTTAGCCATCTTTGTGGCATGCAGGGCGAAGACACTTTTGAGGCTTGTGAAGGATAAGCCCTGTTTACATAATGTTTTTCTTCACGTGTCATTAAAAAAATATGAGCTCAGAACACCATGGACAGCTATCCCAGTTTCCTGTGCATTCCCAGCAGCCTACTTGGGAAGCTGCCTTTCCCCACCAGGGCCAGGTTGGACACTGTGGCCACTAGGGAGCTGGCCTCGTCTGGTTCTGGTAGCTGGGGCCTGGTGCTGAGTGTCTAGCTCCTACTGCCCAGGCTACATGGGAACCAGGCTCCTCCAAGCTCCCACCCTCAGCACTAGGTGCCCTTCATGCCAAGGCTTCAATGGGTGCCAGCCACAGACAACGCAGGAAGCCCAAGAGGCCCACGGGGAAGTGGGCTTCTGAGCCTTTGTCTGCCCCCCGGGGTCAGCCACAGACACCCTGAGAGACAGCATTACCTGTGGTGAACCTTGGCTTGCTGGGGGGCTCCTGGACAGTCACGGGGAAAGTGGCAGATGCTGGGGAGGACTGTGCCCGGGACAGAGGCCGGTGGCTGCTGAAGGACACGGGAATGCCTGCAGCTTCCATGGATGCCTGGTAGGTCCTCAGCTGGTGGATCCGCTGCTGCTCTAGCAGGAGTGCTTGCTGTGGGGAAAGAGGCTGGCTGCTGCACGGACTCCACCTCCCAGCCCAGGGGCATGGGTGATGCACAGGCTCGCTCACACGGCCATGGGGCCCTGCCTTGAGGTTGTGGCAGCCTGTGCAAGGCAGACAGGAAGCTCCATACCCAAGCCACTCCAACAGCCGCATGGGGCGCTGCAGAGCAAAGTCTTCCTGGGCTCTGTGCAGAGCATGATCACCAGCTGGCAGCCTGGGTGCCCAGGGTGGGGATGGGGAGAGGTGAACCCTATAAGGCCCTGGGGACAAGCTGAGGCGGCCCTCTAGGAGGCAATGGTGCCAGGCGGGCAGGCTGTGTGAGCCTTTCGCAAGAGGCAGGGGGAGCCCCTTCAGCCTTCCCAGGTCTTCCATGCAGTCTGCAGAAGGGCACCTTCTAACCAGGGTGTCTAGCTTGTTGACCGATCCCAGTGCTTCTGTTCACTTCCACTTTTATTTGTCACTGGAACTTAGCAAACCATTCACTGGGTTCCTCATCAGTCTCTTGTGAGTCTGGTGACTGCACATCAGTGTCTGAGCAGCTCACCAGTGTGAATGTCCGACTCATACTATTTCCAGATCTGTACAGCTGGCCACCAGTACCTCCTTGGCCCCCAAAAGCTCCTGGTTTCTGACCAGCTTGCTTCCCTCTGTAATTTACCAACAAATCAAGCTACCTTTCTCTTCCCAGCTCATGGGCTGTTAAAAGCTGTTCGAAGAGTGCTCCCAGATCTGTGGGGCCACCACACCAGGGAATGAGGACAGTGCCTGCTGGAAGGCAGGTCCATGGATGCTCACAGAGGGCAATGTGCAGGACTAAGTGTGCTGGACACAGCCTGGGCACCAAGGGGTCCACCAGTGTCCGCCCACCACTCCCTAAGGGGTACCTGTCTGAAGAGCAGCTCCTGCTCGGTGGGTGGGCGCTGGCCAGGCTCTGCCTCCCGTGTGGGCTCCACTTCGTCCTCATCGCTCTCAATGGGCTCCTGCTTCACCTGCACAGCCAGAGCATGCCCCTCCTTTGGCCCTGGGAGCCGGTCCAGGTAGGGCTCATCCAGCAGGGCCTGGTGCTCACGGAGCTCCTCCTCCGTCTCCTCAGGGTGGCTCTCGGGCTGCCGGGCCGGCTCACTGGATTTGGGGATTATCTATAATGCAGAGAAAATGAATGCAGACCAAGAGACTTGACACAAACTTGGCACTTCAGGGTGTGCAGTCAAGGTTTGGTGCACAGGTCACGCTGGGCCTGGCCTAGCAGGAGCCATTCAACCTGGGCCAAGGGAGCTCCTTGGGCACCCTGTCATGGGACAGCCCCAGCAAGACTGAAGCTCAAGGGAAGAGGAAGACAGGCATCTGGGGGTCTAGTACACGTGCTGCCTGCCACGCACAGAAGCCTGGTACATGCCACACATGTGGGTGCATCACAGAGGGGTACAGGAAGTGTGGGGTGAGGCTGAGGCCACTCACTCAAGCTGGGGAGAGATGTGTCTCACTTGCTAAGGCACCTGGTGGGACACACTATGGACTGGCAAGAGGCCCTAAGGGCTTCACTCCAAGCAAGGCCTGAGTTGGAGGCTGGTTGAGGATGTGACCAGAATGAATGCCTGCCTGAAGTTCTCTCTGCTTTGCCAGCTAGAGTAGAACACCTTAAAACTCAAGGTCCCAAACTTAAAAGATGTCCCTTACCTGGACATATAACCAGCCACTGCACTGCCACAGAGCCCTGCTGCCCTCAGCGAGACTGCACGGCCCTGGAGCATGATCAGCCTCGTCAATTCCTCCCTAATCATATTACCTCCAGTCCGTCTGACTCTCAAACCCACACTTGTTTCTGAAGGGCAGCTCACGGTCCCACATGGGTCTCCACGAGCTCACTATCAGTCTTTCCAGCTGACTCTTCTTCGCCTAGGGCCAGAAACTCCTCTGTGGGCAGAGGCCTCCATGCCTGGAACCCTGTTTTCCCATGCCCAAGTCCGTGGCTGTGAACATTGGCCACCTCTGCTCATCAAGGCACAAGGCACTCCCAGCCCGTCCTGGCTGCCCTGCTTCCTCGCCACATGCATTAAGACTATCCAACCTAGGCCACGTTTCCACACTCACACTAGGAAATTCCTGTAGAAGGGAAACAGTGGAGGCATCGGGTTGTGGGCAGAAACTGCTGCAAGAGTCACTTTCTACTCTAGCGGCAAAGGGGCCTTCATGCACGCTCTTCTGATAGAAAGGAAAAGGCACTTATCTGGCATTAATTCCTGATCAGGCAATGGGACCACATGAGAAGGGCCAGACATGGCAGCTGGCAAAGGCACCCTTGGATGGCATGTGAGCCCCCAAATTCCCTTGCTGCACACAGAGGGGCAGCAACAGGGCTGATGCCATTGGCACCTTGGTAAAGGCTGAGTGAGCAGCAGGCCAGTGAGGCCCTGCTGTGGTCCGCCCATGTCCCCTACAGAGGCCAGCCCTCGTGCTGGTGTCTTCATAGATCCAGGGCTGGACACTGGTGCAGGTGGGACCCTGTGAGAGCACTGTTTCTCTGAGCAGAAAGCACGGGGTAGATGCTTCAATTAGCTGTCAAGTGCGATGGTGACTCAATCACGGAACAAAATCCAGTGAGACGACCTGGTCTCTAAATCACTCTTTTGAAGAATAAGCCACATATGAATGAGTGTTTCCTGTCTTCCACAAACCTCCTACCCTATTGCTCAGAGAGTGACATAATGAAATTAGTAAGCCTCAACTGGTGTTAGAAAGACAGGTGTGATAGTGCTTTTGACACTGGGAGTACAGACACTTGGCAAGTGCCTGTCTTACCCCCAGCCAGGGCCGTTCCTGTGCAAGCGAGCACTGTTTGTGGCCCCATTTGACATGAGGGCCTGCAGCACCGCGTGGTGATCTGAGGCCTCCTCGATCATACACTCCCTAGCCTGCAGCAGGACATCCTGGGGTGGATCCCAGCAGGGGCCAGTTTTCACGAATGAGCAACACTTTCAGGGGAACCCATCATGGGCACTGGAAAAATCAAGCCTTGACTGCAGTGAGGAACCCTGCAGCTCCCCTTCTGAGCTGGAACTAAGGGCTCAAGAGAAGGAACCAGGACCAAGTAGGAGGCAGGGTGGAGGTGCTAGGTGGTCAGCATCTATCCTGGGTGGAAGTAGGTGTTAGGGAGGGTCTCACATCCTGTCACAGGCTGTGTCCCATGGGAACCATGCCCTGACCTTCCAGGAGAGCCCCTTTCCTCCCTGCCTATCAATGGTCCTCTCCTCGGGAAACCACTTAGGACCCTGTTGCAGACAAGAGGCCCTCCCAAGGGGAAAGGACAATGGAGAAATTGTTCTGTTCACCTCCAAGCTGGCTGCGAGCTCTGGGAGCTCCTCAGAAGTTCCCATTTACCCTCCAGTCTCTTGTTTTCCGTAATAGCATTCCTGAGATACACAGGAGTTCTCCCTTAGCCTTGATATTCTACAGTCAGTCAAGGTCCAAAACATTAGTGAGGGAATTCCAGAATTACACAACTCTTAAGGTTAACACTGGCGGCTGCTGAGTTGTGTGATGGAATCTTGCTCCGACCAGCCTCATTTCACCCAGGCCATGCACCAGCCTCTCTCTACCTAACATATCCACACCGCCTGGACCTCCTGCCCGCCTGGCTGACCCGTCACCATCCCAGTTGTCATCCTGACTGGTCTGACACCATCCTGCTCATACACAGGGCCCAGAGTTCTCACTATGGCAGGCAAGCACCAAGGGTCTTAGAGTGCATTCCCCCAGAAATCATTTAACTTGAGAGTACTTCTCCCATCCCTAAAAAGGAACTCTGTACCCTTCCCATACCAGCCAGTATGTCCAGTCCCCCATTTCCTGTCTCTGCAAACTTAGGCTGGTTCCGGATATCCCCTGTGAGTTACACTACATAAGGCATGGTCTCTCACTGGCTGAATTCACTTGGTGAGAGGCTCTTTGCTGACCTTCTCTGTATGTGTCCACCACTGGCCCATGCATGACAAGCAACATGGCTGTACGCACATCATGGACCAGGGCCACTCCCAGGCCATGTGCTGACTCAGTGTCCAGCCTCCGGAGGGGCTGACAGGCTGATTTCAGGGCAGCCCATCGCCCCTCTGTCCTCTATCACCACATGCTTTCTCCAGGCCCAGCACTGGACGTAACTTAGCCTGAGTGCTTCTGGTGACCCACAAGCCAGTCCCCAGCCCTCGTTCCTACTAAAGATGCCACTGAGTGACTTCAAGGACTTCCATGGGCAAGTGGACCCCTGCAGAGAGGCCAGGCCTATCTGCTCAGCAGTGTGACTGACAGGTTGGCAGGTGGCAAATGTGCCCCAGAGCTGGGGACTGTGGGTCATAGTTTTTGTAAAGATCTCCTTGGTGAAGCAGAGACTCCAGGAGCAAGGGTTGTGGGCATGGCCTGCCTCATCCCACCCAGCCTCTGGCAGAGGTGCTGACAGCACAGATCCACCTTGCTTGGAGTTCCTCGTACCCCACGCCCCATACCCACCTTGCCCATGTGCAGCTGTTGCTGCTGGAAGTGCTGCTTGTGCTTCTCCAGGAACTGCTGGTGCTGCTGCTGGATTACCAGGTGCTGCAGCGCCTGTGCGCTCTGTGGCAGCGGTGCCGACTGCGTGCGCCCCAATGGGCGGTGCTGCCGCAGCTTGTGCATGGATGGGGATACGCGGTCTGCGCCGACCAGGGGCTGTGCGTGCAGGGGCAGAGCACCCAGACCTGGAAGACACCAGTCTGAAGATAACATGGAGGAAGAGGAGTGGGGTAAGAAGAGGAGGAAGTGGGGAGAAAGACTCCTGAGTAACCACGGCCATGATGTGCACCTGCCTACCCAGGGCCTCCTCCCTTGGCGAAGCAAGCTGTCTGATAATGGCTGTGGCTCAGCCTCAGGAGGGCAGAAGCTGCATCCTGAAGGTGATTGAGGGCCAGGCCCCATGGGTACAGCAGTTCTGCCTGGGAGGCGGCTCCAAGAGGTCTTACACAGTGGCTGCTCCAGGGTCACCTCGACACTTCTGGCACTGTGTCCAGAGCACCTGCTAGAGAAGGCTACCCTAGCTCTGGCACACAAGCAACTCTGCTAGCAGGAGGGAAGCCTGACCTATAGACAGGCAGAGACGAGCCTGCCTGACCAGGACCAGGTCACTCCTGAGACCCTGATTGTTACTTGGTCCTGTCACAGAAACACTCACTGGACTACCTGCTGGGCAGGCACTGGGATAGGCAGGGAGGGCCTGGCAGGAGGGGGTGAGTCTTCTTCAGGAGCTTGTGAGCAGTGCAGGGATAGGCAGGGGTAAGTGCACAGACATAGGTACAGCATAGGGACGGCAGGGGGTGGTGGCTGTTGGGTGGGACAGAGCAGCTGATGCACAGAAGGGGCCTTAGAAAGAGCCCTGGCTTCCACCCTCCTCCTCTGGATGGTCCAGTGCAGGATGAGGAGGAGGGAACAAGGCCCAAGGGCAAGGCTGGAATCCAGGCTGAGAAATCATGCCTCTGCCCCTGCCTGTGCCATGGACAGGGTGCTGCAGCCTCATGAGCTCCTCCCTCAGACTGAAATCCTTGTTGGGCTGGTGAGCCACTGTGCTAGATGATGGGGTGCTTGGACCCCTGAGGACAGAGACCAGCAGCTATATCCCCCTTCAGGAGCACAGGAGCCTCCATGGCAGGAGAATCAAGGCTGTGTGTCAGGGAGGACGAGAAGGGCCAGTGACCCTAAGAATGACAGGCAGGGCTGTGGTGAAGCAAGCATGGGAGGCTGAAGGTTACAGACACCAGACAGAGAATCACCAGTCACCAGGAGGCTAGCACTGCCCCTGGAAACATGTGGCCTGTCTAACCTTGTCAGACTCTGTCTACATCCAGGCTCAGCCTGGTTAAGCTCAGGCACTCCAGAAAAGACGGGAGGGAACTGAGCATGAGGCATTAATTCTGGGCCACAGGCCAGAGAAGCACTACTCTCCGGTGCCAGTCACATGAACATGTGAGGCCAGGTGCACACTTCTGCCTTGACCAGTGACCCAAAGAGCCAATTACTCAAGGAGATGAAGAAGCATGGGTTGACAACACTGAACCAAACCCTGCAGACCCAGCTGAACCCACAGCACCCGGTGATGCCCCAAGCATTGGGAATCAGGCCACCATGGAAGTTGGAGCTGTGACGTGTAGCTGAGACTGGCCTGTGGATCCCTCCAGAGCAACAGCTCACTGGGAGCCAACCACCCAGTGGGGCACTAAGCAGCAGCTCGTCCTCATGTCAAAAGACACAGGCATGCCCTGGGCTTCTGCAACACACTCCACACAGTGGGCTAGGCAAACTCATACTTGATGTCCTGTCTTCTTTTAAGCTGTGCTTTTCTGAATAACCATCCTTGGAGGATGAGCATTCATCAAAGATTTTGCTGCTAACAGGAACCTACTACCTGTCTAGTGTAGTTACAATCCAGGAGCACTTTCTTAGCTCTGTCAACACTGAAACCCACATCACGAGGCCCAGGGATCCCCTGGAGGGGCGCAAGCGGTAGCTGGCTTTGTGAGGCTCGGTTCTCTAGCAGAGGACAAGGAGTCACAGGATAGATCCTGCACATGGTCGGAGTACACAGGCCTCCCTCTCTGACCCCTACCAGAGCACCTACCTGTGACAAGGGGAGTCTGTGTGGGCGGCTGCTCAAGCAGGACCATGTGCTGCAGAAGGGGGTTGTGTGCCGCACCACTGTCCCGCTCCAGGGGCGAGGCTCCCAGGTAAGGGGCCAGGTGGGTGCCAGGGAAGAGGGAGATCCGCTGCTGCAGGCCAGGGAGCGCAAGCCTTTCAGCGTCCTGCTGGGCCGCGGTGCCCTGGAAAGCAGAGCCAAGGCTCTTAGGCTGCCGGGACCCCAATGGCGACCCCACGCCATGCAGACCCACAGACCTGTGGGGGCCACTTACAGTGGAAGGGCCTGTAGCAGGAAGTCCCAAGGTAATGTTGGGCAGGGATGGCGATGTATAGAGAGGGAGCGGGGCGACGGAGGCTTCTCGAGTCACAAGTCTGTGCGCCAAACTCGTCTGAAGACAGAACACACGGTGACCATCATGCAAAGTCCGGCACGACCAAGGAGCATCACCTGTGACGAAAGGCTGGTCTGCAGCCCTGGGGAACAGCACCAGGCGCAGAGACCAGCTCAGCAGCCTGCAGCACACGGGGGTGACCACCAGGGTGCAACCACACATGCAACTCACAGGGGAACCTCAATAGGGTCCTTTCAGTGTCTTGTCTGTCCTCACCTTATTTATGACCATTTGCTTACTTACCACAAAGTTATCAGAAGAAAATCTGGGATAATTCATTAAAAGTAGTTTTTGTAACTGAGAATGTCTTTTCAGAGATGACATCAAAGCAGAGACTAAAGAGAAAATGACTGATAAAAGGGAAAAAAAATCTCTTGTGAAAGCAGGTGATAGTGACAAGAATATTAGCAATATACAAGGCAAGGTTATATATAACGAGCTTGGAATATGTACTTGTTATATATAACGAGTAAGGAATAACTAATGAGAAAAACACACAACCTACTAAAGACAAAAGAAGAAACCATACTAAGGGGCACAAACTCACAAGAAACATTCACCACCAGCAACCTGAAACCCTCTAAAACTTTAAAAGACGGTAATGCCACCTGAGCCCAGAGAAACACAAATACGCTGTGGTGGACGTAAGCTTGAGCATGAGCTTTCTGCAGGGCGAGCTGGCTCCATGTCAGAGCCCAGAGCTGTGCAGAGCTGGACACCTAGCCGGTGTCATCAGTGCTTGGAAGTGGCCCTCGGACTTGGCCTCACGCAGGCGTATTTGCACCTGGGACACGCAGGAAGTGGAAGTGTCCTGAGGATGGTCATCAGACACTTGTTTGTAATAAATTGCTACTGAAGAACAAGTCGTAGGACAATGGGCTTTCTAACAAGGGATCAGACACTCAACCCAGGCTTGCATGAAGAGCAAAGAACCCTCAAAAAGGAGGACTGGGGCAGGAGTGGGCCTGAGTCTCAGGGCAGGGCTAAGGTGTCCTACAGGACCTGCACTCCAAGGTGCTGTAACAACCTGTAGGGCTGGTTACAGCTCTGACTAGAGCTGCTAAACCACTGGTTCTTAGTTGTTGGAGGGTGATAGGGTAGTTGCTGTCTTGTGGTGCACATCCTGGTTTTATCCCTTTGCAGGGCCTGTGGGAGCCAGCTCGACGTGACCTGGCCAGAGCACTAGACACCTGTACACTGGTCAGCTCCGCTCGGTCATGGGTGCAGGACAGGGAGCAATGGCCCTCTGTGCCTGAGGAAATGGAAGAGTCCAGGCAGCTATCCAGCTACCTTTGGGTCTTTTCCCACTTTACTGACATGTGTGGTGTTAGCAATTAAAGGACCACTGGAAAACATGTTGGAGAAAAGTGTTTTTTCTAGGCTAGAAGTATCTGAAGTCCTATATAGAGAAAATGCTGTATCGAGGCTCTCCTACAATATAATCGGCTAGAAGGAAGTAAGCAGCATTATGTCTGTAAAGTTACAATTTCTTTTACAGCAAACTTTAAAAAAAAACCCAAAAAACAAAAAACCTAATATTTTTAGAAATAAAGTGGCCGACTGAGAAGCACTTGCTTATGCTGATTTGCTTGGTGAGAAACACTGGGATGGCTGTGGTACCTGCTATTTCCAGACAAGAACCCCTCAGGGTGGGTTACTTTAGGACCAGCTTGTCAGGGTCCAGGCCACTTGGCCTCTCACAGTCACCCCAGCTAACAGCACTGGAAACCCACCAGGGATGCCTGCATGAGAGCCAAGAGTCACAGTCCATCACGGCCTGTGACAGTGAGTGCCTGAGGTGAGACACGGGCGCCCTGGCCTTGCACAGCACCTGTGACTCCTCTGCTGTGTTCTAGTGATTGACAGCAGCTTGATTTATGCATTGCACCATTTATAAACATTAAGGCCCAGACATGCAGATCTACCCAGAGAGGGTACTCTCACAGCACTAACCAGGGGTGGGGAGTGGCCTAACTGCCCCACGGTGTCTGTGGCCATGGCTGACAACAAAGGACTGTGCCCATGTCCTGGGGCGGGAAGTCCTCTCTGGACTGTATCCCAAGGCTCCTGACTGGCAGAGAGGGACAGTTAAAATTTTAATAATCTAAGTACATAGTTAAATTAGAAGGTTAAAAATACAGATAAAATAGAGAATGAAGTAAAACGCTATGAGAAACAAGTACAAGGTGACCAGAAGCAGCCAGGTGACACACTCCTGCCGCTGGTCCTGGTTTCCATGACCTCTTTTCACTGTGGGGCCGGAGGCCTGACATGAGGATGTTAAGTGCTGGGCCTACACATCCAGCTAAGATCTGAAACCCGCTGCAAGGGCTGGATCCGTTTCTAGACAACTGTACCTAGTAAGTTACAGGGACTTGGGAAGAACCTCCCACTTGGCACCCTCCCGAGTACAGCAGATGGGGATCCTGGTCAATCCACTGGAATGCTTGCCAAGCCACTGCCATATAGCCCACCGGCCTGTAGCGTCCTGACTGCTGCCCCGCCCACCTGCTGGAGTGGTGTGGACCTTTGCCTGAGCCTTGCTGGGCTAAGCCCAAGCACTCACAAAAGACAGGGGGATGTGCAGCGAGTCTGGGGAATGAAGGTGCTGGGCTCCTTGCCCTAGAAGTTCACCTTCAGCGCAGGAATAGGTAAGATGTGCCCCGCTGCCTGCCCTGGTGCCTCATCCTTGTCTGGATATACTCAGGTGTCTCTGATTTTGGCCCCACCCACAACCCCCCCCCCCAATCCTTGTGGCCTTGCCCTAGTCTGCCCAGTGCCTTCTAGGCAACTGTGCCTTCAGGGTGTGATGAAGGCAGGGCTGAGAGGTGTGGAGCCCTCGCCTTGTCTGGCCCAGGATGCTGACTACTGGTGATCCTGTAGTCTCCAAGGCATTTCCTTTCCTGGACATCATTTTAATTTGTGCATTTCTCAATGCAAGTGCCAGCTGCCTGCCAGGACACAGTCATTAGGGGTCCGAGTTGGGTTGGCTTCTCCTGCAACATGCTGCTCTCCAGCTGGGGTGGGGCAGGGAGGTAACATGCAGAAGACCCTTGCAGAGTGACCTTGGGTGCACTGACCTCGGCTGGGACGCTGGACACAGTGGACACAATGCCATTCTCAGTGCTGACGTTGCCAGAGCTGCTGTTGGGTGAGCTGGGCCCGGAGCCTGGGGCGCTGCTACACGCAGAGTCTGTAGGCGGGAGACAGTGGTTGGGAGCTGGCTCTGTACATCCATGGTGACCCCAACTACAGGGCACATGGTCACAGTTTCCAGTGGGGGATGTGATGCCCATTCTGGTCTCTCGACCTCCTGCTGACCAACCTCCCAGTGAGGGTAACTGAGCTCACCCTCTGTGGACACCCCTCCCTTGCCAGGCTTTCAGGATGTGTGTGCTATCAATTTTACAGTTGCTGTGGGTCTCAGGATGATTTGAAACATGAGAAAACTAAGCCCTTAAACACTCATTAATATTCAAGCAAGGAAAGACCAGAAAACACAGAAGCCAAAAGACTGTGCAAGTGAAAGGTTGAACTTAATGTGCTCACTGAAAATGCTACCTCAAGGTAAAGCAATCTATCATTACCACGTATGGTGAACCAAGTCCTCGTTTTCCTACAAAGCACCGAGCATCCAGGAACACAGAACATAGCCAGGGCCTCTGCAGCTCCCCAGTGTTTCCAGGAAATACCCTAAGATGGACCTGTGAACCTCTGTTTATCTGTAGGCTGCAAGGAGCTTCGGGGCTGGGCAGGGATCTGGCCCCGTCCCATTCACCTCAGCGCCCCTACAGGATTCCTCATGCAGAATTCCTCAGGCAGGCTTCCTCAGGCACTGTGCGCAGCTCTGTGCTCACTATGCAGATAGCAGCCCTCGCTGGGCCCCTGCCTGGCTAGTTGCATCCCCACCACAGTGCCATCTGGTGAAATGTCCAGGGAACATTCAGGCTTTGGTGCCTGCAGTTCAGGTGTCTGCCACTCGCCATACTCTGAATACCCAGAGGCCCGCCTAACCTTCGGGACCTGGGGGACACAGCAGGAGCCACAGAAGGCCATGCCTGCAGAGCTTACTGTCAACACCAGCTCCAAATCCAGGGAGGCAGGGAAGGCAAATGGACACAGCGAGTGTGCCATAGCCCTCAGACCCTCTAGACTGGGCTGTAGGAGCTGTGCTTTCCTGAGCTGTGTGGAATGTGCCAGCAGCACCCTCACTGCACAGAGGGGAAACCGAGGTGCCAGGCAGTATTATCACTGGCCCTAGGCCACACTGCTTAAGGACGATGACAAGGGCCGACACTATCCTCACGTTAATATGGGCAGACCATGAAGGCCGCTCCTCCACAGATGTGCTGTCACCCAAGACACGCTGGGCTGATGTGGCGACCCCTGACGTCCTGCCACGGCTACAGGGGCAGAGCTGCCTGGGCTGCTGTTGAGCACTGACGATGAACATGGGTCCCCACCCAGTTTGTGCTGTCTAGATGCTGTAGAACCCTGAGCCTGCTCTGTCCAATGCTCCAATGCCCTGCTGGGAGTTGCTCTCTGGCCCCTCTGACCCTGCCCCTCAGCATCCAGATGGCAGTACCACCTGGGAAGTGCCAAAACATGCTGGACACTCACATCAAGTGGACAGAGATGCCAGGCCATGAGTGCGGATTCTATTAAGTTACAAAGTAAGTGCACTCATAAAGCCTAGTAGAAAATGGGACCTGGTGACATTCGAGCAGTACACTCCAGCTGGCATGGGAGAGGACAGCCCTGGGGAGAAGGAGGGGGTGACTGCCTTGTCCCAACCCTTCTCACGAGGGGTCCGCTCAGAGGATACAGAATCTTCCTTCGGCTCAGGAGCCTTCCCCACTCCCCAGTACTCCCAGGAGCAGCTTCATCGTGCGTTGCTGGGGATCACATTTTTGAACCTCTCTGTTGTCCCTGTTATCTGGGAATGCAGTGCCACCCAGAGCACTGTCCCCACTGCTGCAGCCATCTGTGTGGCTGTGCTCACCAGGAGTACACCGCTCTCTTACTCTGTCTCAACCTCACTCATCCATCAGGCTGCAGCTCTGCTGGCTCAGTGTAGCTTCTAGGACGTTCCCTGCTTCAGGTTTGCAGTGGGATTCTCCATCTAGCACAGCTCAGCACTGACCAGCTTCTGTCATGCAGGCCACCTAGGCCATCCCCCGCGTGATCCTTGAGCCCATTGCTCCATGCCCAGCCCACTCTGAATGTTCATTAGCATGGAGCGGGCAGGGATGACAGCACAGGTGAAGCCCAAGGAGCAGTTAAGGAGATGCTACCTCCCCATGACTGGCTGTGAGAACTGGGCTCAGCATGGGGCTTGCACAGTAGGGTGCCCTGAAAAGGGGCAGGGCCACACAGGTGTCAACCTCCAGCTTACACGTCTGCCCCTCATTCGCACTGAATCCTAAGCAGCTAATGACCCTTGGGGACTGGGGACTTGACACATTAGTTTTTTCCGTACTAGAATGACCAGTGGAAGAAAGCCACATGAAATACACAGTGATAAAGAGGGCTCCCCAGACATGATGTGTGCACTCTTCCATGCTCACCCACAGACCAGCAGAGGCCCAGCAGGGAGGAGAACCCAGGCGCAAGCCAGCCTCCCCTCTCCAAGGCTGGTGCTCAGGGGCCCCCAGGTCCCTCCTAAGCTGTGGCACTCATCAACCTGCACCTGGAGCCTGGTCTCAGGGCCCCCCTGCTCCTGTGCCACTCAGACTTTAGGACCAGGGACGGAGTGCTGTTAGGATGGGGCTCCAGGGGGGGTCATACCTGTGACAGCTGTCCCTCAGGACAGTAAGGCAAAATGTCCTCCTTGGGGGGAACTGTGCTGTATAGGCACTTCTAGGTGGGGCTGTGAGGGGTGGTGTTCCGTGGAGACCTGCACTGGTAGCCTGCTGTGTGTCCACCACTAGGTGGAGCCAGCAGCAGCACGTTCACTAAAGCTCAGCCAGCTGAGTCCTGGTCTCTCTGTCCAGCTGGCCACGGTTGCTGGGAGACTTGGGAACCCTCCTGTGGCTCTGCACTGTTCTGTGGGAATGCAGAACAGGCCGGAGCTGCATCCGCGCTCAAGGGGCAGAGCAGTTAAACACGCAGCTGCAAGTTGTCCTGTGAGTGCCTCCCGGGATGCTGGGCTAGGTTGTGGCCTGCCTGGGCTGTGACAGCAGGCACTTGCCAGGTGCCCCGAGTCCCCTGTGCTGGGTCTGATGTCCGCAGCACCACTGAGCAGCACTGCAGTAGGCTGGCTGACTGGGAAGGTTTTCAGAAGCAGTGGTGCCTGCTTGCCCAATGTACCTGTGACATCCAAGGGGCGCTTTTTTAGAGCAGTAACCACGGGCCCATCCTTCCTGCGCAGCAGGGGGCTACTCCGTCTCTCTGCCACTTTCTGCTTAAGCCGAGACCGCAATTTCAGGTTGGGTTCAGAAGCTGCACAAAAGAAGAAGTGGTTATAGCCTTGGAGGCGCAGCCAAGCTCCTGGGTTAAGCGTGTACATGTGCACGCGTGCATGTGTACACACACACACACACACACACACACACACACACACACACAGGGTGGATATCCATTTCCTTCTAGGGAGGACAGAGGCGCTCCGTGGGAGGCACCTGGTCCTCTGCTCATCTGCCCCAGCGAGTACTGCGTGTCTGAGGCTCGACTGAGCATCTGGATGCCAAGGTCATACACGGAATCCGTCACAGACAATGCCATCACCACACTTTACCCAGATAAAAACAAGGCTACAACCACCTCCCAGGCACAGTGGGAAACAGGGCAGTGTGACAGGCACTCAGCAATGACTCCTGGACAGTGCTGCCCTGAGAAAGTCATCTGTCTTTGCAGCAGTGCCACTCTGGTGTCCGAGGAAATAGACAAACACAGACCCTGTGGGCTTGGATTCTGACTTCTAAAGCACGTGCCTGCTCATCCCACAGAGGCTTGCACTGCAGCATCCACAGGTCAACAGTCTGCTCTGGTTGCTGGTGTCCATGGAAAACTTGCACTGAAGCCCTGGGGGCCTTCACTCTCCCGTATACGTGGGGCTACACACACTACAGGTGCAGGAGGAGCAGCAGCAGCAGCACGGGCCACCTGCGGAAGGGCCTGGCCTATCAGTCAGCTGTCCAGCCCAGGACATGCTGGCCTGCTTCCGAGCCCATGGTTGTTCCCCACATGTGGATTTGCACAGTGGTGGCCCACCCCCTTCTTCCCACTCAGCACTTCATGCTCTCAGGTCTTTCCACTTCCAGATGAAACTTCTCTGGAATCAGTACCGTGCTTCATGTTCTAAAACCCGGGGCAGGAGCCACTGCACCTTTGGGGAGCATCTCCCAGGCTGGGGCATGCAGGTGGACAAGAACCTCCCATGCTTTATAGGAGGCTTGAGGCCTCCGAAGCTTTGGGGAGCTAGGAGGTGGTGAGTGGCATGGGTTTCTGAAATCTGACTTCCAGAAAGGGCAAGGCTGAGCTCACAGGCAGGCGTCAGGCTCCTGAGACCCCAGTCTGCTCTAGGTGGCACTCGCCAGGGCTGGGGGCCTGCGGCCTTGTGGCAGTATAGGCAAGTGTCAATTCACCTGCCAGACCAGTGTGACAGCAGAGAAAGAGTTTAGACACAGAAATATCTTTCTGGCTGTCTCTGTTTCCAGTCTGTGTTCTGAGCTAAGTGTAGGCTCATGTTCTGCTCCTACATTTATGTTTCTTACTTAAAAATGAAAATAAAACAGGCCAGAAGCCCATCTGGTCAACAGGCAAGGACACAAAGGCCCCTTCACCTGTACCAACAGCTCAACTGAAGCTCTGTGGGCTTCTTCAGTGCCTTGACAGGCTGGGGAGAAATGGCCTAAGGTCTGGGCTGTGGACACCCACTGACTGGAGCCTGGGGGCAGGGTTCTTCTTGGGTGCTGCCCTCCTGGATGCCGTGGAGTGATGCACACACCACTGGGTGATGGCACCCACTGAGTAACAGGGTTGTTCTGGGCCAGCTGTGAAACTGGTCATGCTACTGTAGACCGATGTCCTAGCCTCCTGTAGGCTGTGCAAGTCTGAGGTCAGACTGGAGGTCATTTAAAGGTCCTGCTTCTGACCAGGTCTTCAGATGGGTGGGACTGTGTCCAGACTCCTGGTGTGACTTGTGACTCCACAGGATTCACCACTGTGCCCTCTGTCTCTTTCCCACCACACCCAGTCCGGCAGCAGGTTCTGAAACAGGCTCTGTGGGGCTGTCAAGGACCCTGTGGATCCTATTAGACACAGGTCCCACTCAGGCCTAGAGAGGGGGCTGCACAGTGGGCAGGTGTGCAGGGATGGGGAAACAGCCCTGGGGGAGAGGGAAAGCTGATGCACTGGCAAAGGGTGCAGCCGAGCACCACGGTGTCGGGTGGCCTTGTTGGGAGGTGAGGCAGGTGCTGGGCTGTAGGGAGGGACCAGCACCTGCCAGGTTTTGCTCTGGAAAAGTGTTCTTCAGTCACATGGCCCCACATCTTGCATCTCCAAGCCAAGCCCAAAGGAGCTATCTCCTTCAAAGAGAAAATAAGATGATCTGCAGTTTTCACTAGCCATCTGCGTATTTCCTGGAATTACTGAATCTTCCAGGTGGCAGTTTGGGACACAGGGTCCCCACCTGGCACATGAGGCAGGCACACAGCAGGTTGTGGGCTGCAGGACAGCACAGTGTGGGACTGACGGGCACTGACTTTGCTCCTTGGGGGGCAGTTGCTCTTCAGAGGTGATCTGGGAAATCATAAAAAGAGGGCAGGCAGAGCATTCCGACCTCAGCCCTAGAAGTCCACCAGTGTACCCTGAGTTGGCTGTAGGAAACAATTCCGAGAGATGCAGGCCTGTGCCCAGCTCAAATGTCTTGGGACACCCACATGGTGAGTGGCACTCCCTGAATGTTAGTCACAGGGTGACACCAGTCCCTGTGCTGGAATGCTCTTAAGTGGTACTTGAAAAAGTCCCATGTACATCTAGGCGCAGGAGCGAATATAGGTTCTCCCCAGGTTCCCCTGCTTTGCCAGCCTGAGGCCATGGCCAGTAGCCATCGAGGGTGGAGCAATAAAGAAAGCTGGCAGCTTTGCCAGGTCAGAGGCTGGTGGATGGAGCTGTGGGAGAGAAGACTGCTTTGGCAGGACAAGAACTGAAGCACTGAAAGAAGGAATGAAGAAAAGGCTGAGGATTTTCAGAGGAAAGAAGGAAAGAATGAAAAGAGGGAAACTGAGAAAACTCTAATTAATGAGAATGCTAGGAGGAAGCAGAGCAGGGAAACCAGAAGCAGAACAGTTTAAGACACACTCCCCTCCTGGATGGAGAGCGGGGTGCGGCGCCTCTGACTTCACCCCAGAGCAGCCTACAAGGACACCTGGAACGTCCCACACTGCCCTGGTTCCTGGGCTGCACTTGCAGCATGGAGACAAGGGCTCTGCCCTCCCCCTTGGCTGATGCGGTCAGGTCTGCACCTCTCGGGCTATAGCTGCTTGGGGCCCGGCCCTTCACCTTCACTGGGAGAGGACCCAGAATGTCCCAGCCATCACCCCTGTAGCACGGGCCTGGTGTCCTGTGAGGCCTCAGCCCTTCTCCCTTTGTTCATGTGAGAGCTGCCAAACAGCTGAGGCCACGTGGGCCCCCACAGGACACTGAACTCTCCTTCGCTGTGCCTGCCTCACTCTAGGGACCCTGACTGTTACCCGCTTGGGCACTGCCAGGGCCAGCTGGATGCTCCCTTTTGAAATTTCCATGCACAGGAAGTACTTAACTCCAGTGAATGCCAGGGCAGCTTCGGGGCATGGACAGGCAGTGTGTGTTACAGAAAGAAAATTGACACAAGGTCTCCACAGATGAGCTGGAGTTTAGAAAGAAATACACACACACATGCACCTTTTCTTTTGGGATGAATGCTAAGGGGACACTCAAGGAGATCTTTCGCTGAGCGACACTCTGCCACTGGCTCAGCCTCAGTCAAGGTAAGGGGCCGACGTGGGGCTCCCTCCAGCAGCAGAGCTAAGCACTGACCTGTCTTCCTCAGAGGGAAGTCATCTTTGGCATCGTACATCCCCAGGACTGGGTGGTTATAGGAGGCTGACACCCCCGTCTGGGGTGGAGAGCTCTGGTCCAGGGAGCTGTGCTGTGTCTTCCTGCAGAAAACAAGATGGGCATCAGTGTGTCTTGGTGTTACCAGAACCGATGGGCAGAGCCTGAAACCCCCAACCCCACTGTCATTCCTTACTCAGGTCAAGCGGAAAACAAACAAAAGCAGACTCAAGACACATCCAGGAAGGCACTGACAGCCTCCCTTTCTGACTCAGCTGCTATCTACTCTCTGCTCAGACCTGCTCCTCAGAAACCTCGAATGCTTTGCTCTCTACCAGGGTCATTACTGGCCACACCGAGGGCCTGTCCTCAAGGTGTAGGGCAGAGGAAAATAGGTAGGCTCTAGGGCAAGAAATCCAAGATGTGAGGAATGCAGCGGAAACACGGTGCAGAGGGCCTGGGACTTTGCCCTCCAGAAAGCAGGAGTTCCTGAAGACTTCTCTCAGCAACACAGAGCATCCCAGGTGCCCTCCACCAGTGCACAGCACACTGGGCCTCTCCCTCTTCCTCTCCTGCACAGCTGGGCAGCAGTCTTGTATCCTGGGACAGGTCTGTGCAGGCTTCCTTCAGAGCAGCTCAAGTCTTCCTCAAAGCTAGCAGGGAGCAGGCTGCTGGTGGTGCTCAGAGGAGGTGTGAAGGAAGAGGGAGGAGTCGGGCCTTGGGAATTAGGGGGACACTGAGGCAACTCAGGAAAGCTTTGTGGAGGCGCTTGCTGGCTGAGTCTGTCCTGCAGGTCTTTATACTGTATAAACTGCTTAATGACTGGAAACAAATTTACCAAATTTCTTATTTGGAATTTCCTAGATTATCTATTTGAATACATAGTCCTTCACATCTGCACACCTGGAGTCATCTAAATCAAGAGCAGAAGCTCTTAAGCACACACAGGTGCATACTGAAATATCTGAAAATGCATGGTGCAGAGAGATCCCAGAGATGAATCCCACAGATGAATTCTGCAGGCCAGGCTTCATCCTTGCAGGACCTTGAGGCATTTGGGAAACCCTCCTCAGGCTACATCCCATCCTACCATCTGCAGAGTAACTCTGCTCTGCTCCCAAAAGGCCTGAGATTCTGGACCACAGCTGGGGTTAGGCACATACCCAGGCATATCTTCCCAGGAGTCCTACTGAGAGCTGTGGACCTTGGGCCTGGGCCTTCACTTTTGCTCCAGGAGAAGCCTGGAATGAACACATCTGTGTGTGCTCCCTGTGAGTTAAAAAGTCTAATACAGCTTCTCGAGCTGGACTGATACATGGAGGTGCTGTCAGCATTAACATCCCACAATGAGGCTGGGGAACACACTCTAACTGCAGGAAGCGGTACCAACTAGCCCGGCACCTAGCAAGGCAGAGCAGTCTACATCCCAAGCCAGACTGCGGCCATGCCAGCCTTGCAGGACACAGAGGGTGCTTGATGGTCCTCCACACCTGCTCCATATGCCAGGAGCAGCTTCCCTGCAGAGCACAGTAAAGGCAGAGTACAGCCACCACTATGGGGAACTCCACGACTGCTGTTCGGTGTGGGCAGCCCGGCACATGACATCTCCTCACAGAGGGTCCAGAAGGATGAGTGGAGGTAGCCCTGCTCCACTGCACACCTTGTGCCCGAGGCAGGGCAGGGCAGAGACCAGCTCCTTCAATCTCTTTCACCCCGACCAGGAATCTGCTCCATTTTCCAACCTTTAATTTCCAGCCTGGGTTGGGGACAAAGCAGCCAGGGAGGAAGCTGTAGGCTGTAGGCTTTACCTGGGGTGCAGCTCACAGGTAGTAGTGAAACCCTGAGGCCTGGGTTTCACTACTACATCGTGGTAAGCAAGTAATAAACAAGGCAGTCCTTGTCTTACTGGAGACAGAAAAACTGTGATTTTCTTTCTAAACATCATCTCGATTATAGAACAAAACAACAAATTCAAGCATTTAACTTCTATCAACAATTGGCTTTTGCCAATATATCAGATTTATACCAGTGATTTCATATAAATGAAACTCCTTATGGAGTATAATAGCACAGTCTGACAAAAATACAATGTGAGCTACATATGTAATTTAGAATTTTTCTAGTAGTCACATTAAAATGAATCCAAAGAAACGGGTGAAATCAATTCAGCATTCTATTTAACCTGATAGGTAAAATCATCATTTCACCCTGGAATCAAAGTAGCACTTACTAGTGGTATTCTTTTTCACACCACTGCTGGAACCCTCACCATGGGCCACACACTTCCCTGCCCAGGAGCACGGGGGCTGGCTATGCTGGATGGCAAGACCCCATGTGACTGCTGAAGGTGGGAAGCACAGACATCTGTTCACACCTGTGGACTACCCAGTGTCCTGAAGACCCCTTGTGTTTGGCTCACTCCTTCTTGGTCCAGAAGTAGGGCTGCAGTGGGCAGCTCTTTGCGTCTGGTCTCTGTCTAGGCATTGGTGTCAGATCCCAGCAGACACAGCAGTTACCCCTGCTCCTACTGCTGCACAGAACAAGGCAGCATTCACCTGGCAACAGGCTTGAATGCTCCTGCTGAGAACACAAGTAGCCCAGCCTGGAGGGCTCGATTCCTTTTACCCAGAGTGAACACCGGTTGGGCACAGAGGTAGAATACACTTTCACAGGAAATCGCCCGATACTTCCCTGGAAACCGGGAATACTGTTAAGGCTGAGCCAGCTCCAGGTGTGAGGCTGCATTTCACTGTGGCTCCCTGGTGCACCCTAGGTGCCTTGTGGGGTCCTGGGCCTCTCTCTATGGGTGCACAGCCATCCACATACCCTCCTTACGAAGCACCTATTGAACTCTTTGCCTGTATTCCTGTGGGCTGCTTATCTGTTCACTGTTGAGTTGCAGGAGCTTTACTCATGGCTTGTCAGATATAGGCACTGTGACCATCTCTTTCCAATTTGTTCCTTGCCTTTTTATTGTCTTTAAGGTGTCTTACAAAGAGCACAGTTTTCAATTTTGATGAAGTTTAGTGCTTCAAGTTTTTGATCTCCTGTCAGTGTCCTTTGCTCACTCCTGCCCTAAGGCTCTCACGGTGTCCCCACATTGTCATCTGATGTTTCACTGGGTCAGTGCTGGTGCTCAGACCTAATTAGCTTTGAACTGACTGTCAGGGTGGCACAGTGCTGGGATCGTGGCTCAGCTCCTTACGTGCAGACCTGCTTCCTGACCGCCATGGGTTGTGGGTGGATGGGAAAACAAGCAGCTCACCAAACTAGGTGAAAATGAGCCTGTGCCCTGGCTGATACCCTTGGGGTAACTTTCTTAACCCTCCCTGAGACTCTCTGAAGGAGACAGCGAACTGCCCCAACCATTTCACTGAGGAAACAGTGCTGATGCTGGCTGGGAACCACCCTGGGGTGCCCTGGAGCCCTCCTGCCCCCAAGCACCTTGGACCCGCCCTCCTCTCTAAGCCCTCCCCCAGGCCTGTGACTCAGGAGGTGTCCTCCCTCACAGGCAGCCTGGCCCCTCGTTCTGCTCTTCCACACAGCTAAGCCAAGGCATCCAGCTTTATATCTTACTCTGTCACACAGATGCCACTTGCAGCTCTTCCTGCGCCGCTGCACTGATGACAATTTCCCACAGGTCTGTGCCTCACTGCACCCGGGAGATATAAGGGATCCCTCCCCCTGTCCCACAGCCTCTCATTCCTGGGTGTCTACATCTTCTTCAGCTCTGGGCTCCATGGTCACTACCTCTAGACCATGGTCTCAGCTGCCTTTTCTGCCTCAGCAGGCGGGGCCTGGCCAACAGGAGGACATGGAGCTCTCGTACAGCAGAGCCCCCAGCTGTGGGCCATAGCACAGGAAGAGGGACAGAAGGAAGGTGCTGGTGTTTCGCAGGGGCCCTACCACTGGCTGCCAGTGCTTTTCACTACTGTCACTTGTGGCTTCATCTGAGCCACCCGCTTTCATGCGTCTCTGCAAGGTTACGTAAACAGCAAGGGCATTCTACGGACTTGCAGTGTGTGAAGCCTGATGAGCAGTCTCATTATGAGAAAGACTCTCAGGGTTTCTGAGGCTAGCTGAGGTCAACCATGGAAACAGACAAATGATCCCAATGGGATGTGGTGGCGTTTTAGTACCCAGAGCTGTACCTTTTGAGGCTCTCGGAATAGCTGTTTTTTTTTCCCAATGAAACTGCCAATAACACTTTGATTTATGAAAAATGACACTATTGTTGCTTTTCTAGTAACCAAATGACCCTTGAGAACTGAAGAGAACTGTGTGCTAACTGAGGACGCCACCTTACTGTTCCCCTGCCCTGCCGACGAGGCCTCCACAGACACACCGGCGTAGGGCTTCGTTCTGCTCTCCTGCCATGTCTGCTCACCGTGAAGGCACTGGTAGGGCCAAGATGCTTACGGACTTGCCCAGACTCAACAGAACACTGGGTGGGAATTTGGCAGGTGCAGATGGGCCACTCAGCCCAGGCTTCCCCTGTGGGCAGCTCCTCATGCAGCTGAAGGACAGCACCAAATACTAAGAGTGAGGACTGGGCCCAGGTAGGAGCGGTGCTGGATGACCTGAAGTCTGCCTCCCCTATCGGGTGCCGGCTGCATGTGTTCAGTCCTATAGCACTTGGGGGTTTCAATTTGCCCCCTTCCCACTCTGCCTTACCCAGTGAGAACTGGGTCTGTACAAACCTGCCACACATCATGTGTCGTGCTGGGCCCAGTGGCCAGGCCACTTACCCATACCAGAAGCGGGGATCACTGGAAATGCACTGGTTCAGGTTCCGGTGGGCCAGCGCCTTCTTCTTGTTGAGGACAAACTCCTGGAGCTTCATCTTCACCTCTGTGCTGGCCACAGCACCTGGCAAGTGTGAACAGAGGGGTGAGGTCCAGGGAGGCAGTGGGGAGCCATCAAGTAGGATGCAGTGGGCGGCAGGCTGTGCAGAACACTGCTGAAGCTGCAAGCAGCCCGAGTGGGAGGCCTTTGTCCCGCAGAGGCCAAGCACTGTGTCCTACTGAAGATGCAGATGGGATCGCAGGAGGAACTCTTTGCTGGCTAACACAGCTTGGCATCCTCACAGGAAGCACAGGGGTCTCATTCACACTGCTGCCTGAGAAGAGGACTCTGGGAAAGTGTTCCTGCCTCAGGCACATGAAGGGACCAAGTTACACCACAGGTAGGTTGCCCATGAGTGCTGTATGGCCAGCACAGCAGTGTGCTTACCCAGGGTCAGGGGCGGCCCTCTTCTCTGGCCTGGCACCACAGGCACAAGAGATCGGACTTCAGTGCAGACTGTGACAAGGAGCAGCCACGTGTTCTCAGGTATTCTCGCAGTGGCAGTGACTGCTGCTGGAAGCCCCATTAAAGAAAACCAGCAGTCTGAGAAACAGACCTAAGGACCCGAACTCTCCCAGGACTCAAGGCCTAGTCGGGTTGGGTCTGCACCCTGGAGTGGCACCAGTCTGCTGCTAAGGAGCACAGCAGTGTTTTCCTTGGGGTCACACAGTACTTGAACAGCACTCCTGAAGGTCCAGAAGACCATGCATGGTGAGGGCACACATTGCCATACACATCCTGACCTCCCCTGACCTCAGCTGCTGTCACAAGCTATCATGCCACAGACACTTAGGAGTGGATGGCACTCTATCTGTTCAGAACTACTCATTCAGCAGAGGTGAGCTCTACCTCACAAACTTCAGACAGCTCTGGCACACCTTGCTAAACTGCTTTCGAAACGTGCTCTCACTAGCTAACTCATCCCTCATCCATGGAGCACAGGGGGCAGCTGCCTGCTCCCCAGCACTCAGGTCCCCACTCAGCACTGAGAGGCTTGGCTGAGTGGCTGGGTGTTCCTGATAACCACTTCCATCCCCTGATGCACTTTGTTTCCAGCTAGCTTTGTTCAGCAGCGCTTCCGTGCCTGTGGGAGTAATCAGGCAACAGGGATGCACACAGGTTTCATCCCCTTGAATTGCACATGTTCCATAATCATAAACCTACTAAGCACCTATGACTGACACTGAGCCCTGTGCAGAGACAAGTGCACAGGGACCTGCTGGGGGAGGTTGCCAAGGGGTTAGGTGAGGCTCGGGCCGACTCAGCTGAGGTCAGGGGAAGTCATGCCTGGCTCTTAGATTATTTTGGGTGTGTATAAACTACCCTAGTTACTGGTTTCCTTTAAAATCTGGGTGTCCTCATGTCTGTATGCTTGTTTTCATCAAGTCTATCCCAGTTTTTCCTTTGTGACTTTTGCCATTCCCTTGAAGCTTGTCTTCTTTCCAAGGCTTTGATAAATAATCACTGTGTGAGCTGGGGTGTGGCTCAGTGGTACATCGCTTGCCTTGCATGTGCAAGGCAGGGGTGTTCATCACCAGTACAGCCAAAACCCCCCAAAAGTCTCATCAAAAAAACCATTTTCAGCCTACCCATCTTGTTCTGGTGTGGGGTTTTCATTTGTTCATTTGCTGCTACTATCTTTTCCAAGTTTCACACTAATACACCTGAAATCAATCTTGCTGCTGAGAGGTTCTACAGGTATTTTGACAAAGTGACACTGTATTATTAATATCATGAGCTGAATTATTTTCCTGGCTACCTTTTGCCACACATTCAAGATATCCAGTGCTACCCTGAGTGTCACACATCCTTCAGAGGTCATACAGCACAGTCCGATGTGGGGTATATGAGGGAGGGTGGACCAGTTTCCCTGGAGAGAGGTCTAGCCTGGCAGCAGCAGGACCTGGAAACTAAGGAAGAACTCAGCTGAGAGGGCATAGGCAGGGGGCAGCACAGAGCACAGGCTGCAGTCTGCAGACAACCTCGTCTGAGCACACAGAGAATCGACTCATAGGGACCCCCGGTGTGTGCTGCTGAGGACGGGCATGTGAGGAAGGTCCTGACCACAGCAAGGCTCTCCTGTGCACTTGAAGGTGTGCACGATGGATCCAGGACCAGAGACCAGAGCAACCGTCATGAGACTGTGGCACTACTCATGAACAGTGGAGCCTGGTGTCTTTCCCTCACACGTGGACTCGCTGGGGCCCTGCACACTGCAGGACATGTGCTCTGCTGGGGCATCCCTGGACACAGTCACAGGGGCTCCTGAGAGCCACAGACTGACTCTTAATGCATGCACGGTGACATAACCCATGCAGAGGGATGACCCTATAAACTTATAAAGTAGCCAGCAGCAAAGAAAACGCCAGGAGGGGGGATCCAGCGAGTTAAAGCTACAGTAACAGAAGGTGCAATGCAAGCCTGCCAGTTAGGTACACGCAACGAGCTTACCTTCTGGGAAAGAAATGAAAAAGCAAAGAAGGAGCTTCCTTTCACTTTACACTGCCAATATGGCTGGCTTTCCTAATGGAACCACCCAGAGCTGCTGAGCGCTGGCAAAGGGTCAGGCTGCATGATAGGGAGGGTGACATCCACAGTGATGGCAGCCCTTCCAGCCAGTCAGGGGGTGACCCATCAGGCTCTTCCAAGCCCCTAAGCCTCTTGGCAAACCAGCCTGTGTCCGCTGGCCTTCCTCCTTAGGAAAAGGCACCTAGGTGGCATGGCCACAGCTCCTGTTGGGAAGCACAGGCCCTGCCATTTACCCCATGTCTGTGGGAAGTAGCAACTATGCTTTGCTGATCCCAGGGCATTCCCAGAATCTCATCTCCAGAGTACAGGTCCAGGGTCACTTGGGGAGCAGCAGCTGTGCCCTGTGGACCAGCTGTGCTGTAGGTTAGCTGTGTCTCTGCACTGGCCGGGAAACCCCTGAGGCACGGCGTAGCTCAGAAAGGCCCCGCCAGCTTGAAGCAACAGTGGTTCAAGCTGCCTGGCAGCAAAATGTGCAACTCCAGCTTAGTGACAATCAGGGGAAGCACAGCTGGCCGGAACAGCAGCACAGCAAGCCCGAGCTCCTGACCTCCTAACACAGTTAAAAGTCTCCTTTGGTCCTTCCAACTCTGCCAAGTGAGATTGAAGAGAGGAAGACTATGATCCCCACCCTGCATCTCCTTCATAAACACTCATGTCCAGATTTCTCCACTTACAGGAAAGTTCCAGAATTAAAAATCTTTCAGTAAGTAGACAGCACATTTCGCAAATGTTCTTTTTCTTTTTTTAAAAAAACTTACTTCCTGTTGTTCTCGTTCATCTACTGGACAGACTTTCACACTCAACCAGTGGGACTGGGAGGTGAGACACAGCCGCTTAGCTGCAGGGGTGAAGGGCAGGAGGCCCGGGGTGCTCAGCAAGCTGGACAGGAGAGGAGAAGAGCAGGCACCTGGGTGGGGAGGAGTGGCTGCAGGTAGCCTGGAATGTACTGGGCAAGCACCGGGTCCCGAGGTTGCCGGGAAAGTGGGTCCCTGGACATGGATGGTGGGATGAGCAGCACAGAGGTCCGCCTGGCGTCCCTGTGACTGACTCCTTTTGTGCTTTACTTGGCTGTGAGGATGTGTGGCTTCACAGTGGGCCAGGAGCTGCTTTCCATGTCAGGTGTGTATCCGTTGGGATAGGCCTTTTGCCGCCTGTCGGCCCTGAGGCAGATCTGCCTTGGCTGGGGCAGGGCCGCTGAGGTTCCTAAGTGTCAGTCACTGAAACAGATAACACCTGAAAAGTGCGACCCTACCACAGGGGATGAGAACAGGCATGAGCTATAATAACTTACTGTTTGTTTCATTTCTAGTATTGTTTGATATCAATATATAAAACTGCAGAGCCATCTAGACTCCAAATGTTTACAAATTTAACAAAACTTTTGAATGAAATATTTAGTAAAAAGTTCATTTAAAACAAAACCTCAAGAAACTATCAGATGCTGTGCAGTTCATTTGCAAATCCTTAAAAAATGGAGGCGCTCCAAATCCTCTGGGCTTTAAACTGACATCAGCAAGAACCTGCCACAGGGAGGCACCCCGATCTGGCCTGAGGGCCCACACCACTTGGGCCTTTCTCCCTTGCATCTCTCAAGACCACACCAAAGCTGCAGAGCCAGCGCAAGCTTGCCAAGTACCTGACTGTACATGGTTTATTATTAATAATAAAACCTGGCCACCCAAATCCACAGAGCAAGACCATTGGGCCACTGCCTGCAATGGGGCTGCATAGTGGAGAACATTCCAGTGCCCAGTTGAGGGTGGACAGCGATTAATGTGCAGCACAGAAATTGCTTTTGACTGTAAACAGCCCCAGAATGTTTCCTAAAGTCCAATATTCTGTGGGCCTTCAGTGCTATTTTTATTGCCAGATTCTGGTAAACCAGGAGAAAGCAATTTGGACTGAGTTGCTTTACAGCAATCAGAAGAATTGATTTGTTGGTTAGCTGTAGCACAGATAAGGTAGAAATGTGAATTCAATCCTTGGATGAACAACCACTGCATTTCCTGGTCTGTAGGAAACAAGTCGGGTACATGCTGAGGCGCGAGGGAAACATGGAGGTGCAGAGGGACTGGGGTCCCGGTGTGCCTGGCACTGCAGCCCCAGCTTCTGGGCAGCAGGTACACAGCCAGATCCCTGCCAAGGCTCCTGTGTGGACCGTGTATTGCTGGCCAGTGGTGGGGCAGCCTGCCTGGAGGGGAGGGGCCCCACAAAGTGAGCAGTGGGGTGGCCGCACAGCCAGGAGGGAGCAGAGTTCTCACTCAGTTCTCAGACCCCAGTTCTCAGAACATGACAATCTCCTGAAGAGCTTCAGGCAGGAGACTGCCCTGAGGGGCACGAGGGTGATAAGGGTTACACCAGCCCCTCATAGAAGGCCCAGCTTGTACATGGAACTCATGAGTGGGTGCTGTAAGATCACGGGCCTGACTTTGCCCAGCCCCAGGCTGAGGTTTCCTGGTCTCTGTCCCCTGCAGCTGCAGCTGGGTGAGTCATCC